AATTTTGAATCTGAGTTTTCAACGGAAATACACGTTTTGAGGTACCCTGAGTCGAAATGACCAAATCCCGAAAAATGGTCAGTGTGTCTGTGTGTTTGTACGTTAGCAGTCTAGCTCAAAAACAAAAAGTCGTACGAAACTGATATTACGTATTTAAGATAGGTATATGCCTCAGATGTGACAGCAACTTTTTCCTCAAAATCGGCTTACCGGAAGTGCCACTTTATATCAACGCTGAACCACATTTTTATAATTTTCTCAAAAACGGCTCTAACGATTTTGATTAAACTCGGTGTATCATTGTATAATGTAGTAATCTTTAATATCAATTAGGTCTTCATTCAATTAGGTCCTCATTGATGTCACTTTACAGGGCTTAAATGCCCAATACGCCTTCCTCTAAAGTAGCTTTAATATGGTTTATTTAAAAAAATTAAGCCTTTAACATTATTCAAAGTTACAAAAAAGTGCTAAACATAACTTTGGAAAGAATTTGATAAGTTAATAAAGGAGAAAAAAAATAAAAGTGCAGAAAATCTGCTTTGCTATAGACTGTAGCGCCTAAACGAATGTACCGATTTCAATGAAACTTCGCTAAAGTCATTTTCTCGACACCCTTTAAATTTATCTATATAACATACTTCAACGAAAAGAAGCTGGAAAAAAAGTTACGAGGGATGGTAAAATTAAATTCCGAATAACTCAAGAAGTATACACTTTTTTGTGGATATTGTGATGAGATGTTTCAAAGGTATTTAAATTTTCTAAAAAATTAAAGAAGTTTCATCGAAATCGAAGGACTATTAGTAGAGATATCGCAATTTTAAAATATTTTTACTTTCAATTACGTATACATGTAATATATAGTAAGGATAAGTATTGCGATCGAGATTTTTATTTTTAATATAATGAGCATATAGAGCCATCTAACAATTTGAATGTGAAAATTTTTAAATATAAAATTAGTATATCTAAAGCTTATTTAACATTTACCCAACCGGCTGGTAAACAACATTATGCCGACTTCGAAGGTCGCACCGGATCTCAGAGATCCGACGAGCGGTCTGTTCGATGTATTTGTATACTGCTTGGGAAAGGATGACCTTCCTTCTACGTATTTTCCTGGCTCTTGGAGTCTTACTATCCAGTAGTGGGATGTCCTTTGTTGTGTATAATTTTTGTACTAAAACTTAAGGATTGACGGCGCAAGGGGAAATTGTTCGCACTCAGTGTGACTATGATGGCAGAATACAATGTAACAACTACATTGCCATATCGCCGCCGACAGAAATATCGTATCGCCGAGACATATCGCGTTCTGTGTCTCGGAGCTTTTAGAGATGGTTTGTCCCGTGCCTGCTCTGGTTACGTCCTTCAAAACCACAACTGTGCTTCCCTTCTTTCTCATAAAGAACTTCGGTTTCTCTTTTATCTTTATATAATCACCCGTAACAATTTATATAGTTATCAATTGTTATTGTTATTAGGTAGTATCTATGTCGATCGTACCTTCATAGGTTTAGAATACTTGTTAAGTAGATGATATTTTGCAGGGCTGTGCCTGTGGGCGTGCGGCCTGACGGGGCTCTATGGCTGCGACACCCCGCTGCTGGACATGCTCCTCTTCGCTGCCCTCATCTCCGCCGTGGACCCGGTGGCCGTCCTGGCGGTCTTCGAGGAGATCCACGTCAACGAGATCCTCTACATCGTAGTTTTCGGCGAGTCCCTCCTCAACGATGCGGTCACTGTGGTAAGTATTCATTGTCATAGTAAAATTCTAACTGTATTTTAAATCCATGTGTCGTATATAAATCGAATTTTCGTAAATAAAAAAGTTGTAAATTATGATAAGAAGAAGCAACTAACACAGTTTTAGACTGATGTTAATAATATATAATATATAAAAGCGGTTCTGTACCACGGACTAATATCACCGGATATCTCGAAGTCTGAGAAAAAAGGTTGATCATTTTTTTCTTTTTTACTTTAATATGGTCAGGGACACTTTTCTCAATAGTAAAATTTATATAGAATAACCATGCACTTTATACCAGATATATCACGTATCTATTTCCGATACCATTTACAAATGCTTTGGCCCAACACGGAGTGGAATTGAGTTCATCCAGTGAAAAAAAACAAAAAAAAATGTAAAGTTGAGCTCCAATAGATTCAAATAAGAAAGAACGTATATGAAATAGAGATTGCACTTTTTAAATAATAATATAAAAGTTCATATTTAACCAAATTTAGATGTGGTGAGGATTTGAGGTGTGGCCCAAGTCGTGACGTGTATAGGTACTTAAAATGCTATTATGACTAATTGAAACTATAATAAATAATTTTTTTTTTCCTACCCACAGGAATTTCTTTATCACAAAGTACAATATATAAATGTTATATATACATATTTTTTTATTATTTCCTTTTATTGCCCAAGGGCATTTTAAGGTAAGAGGGCGTACTTTGAATATGTGCGCATACAGCGTGCATAGCCCTCTTACCTTAAAATGCCCTTGGGCAATAAAAGAAAAAAATATATATATTATAACATCATATTGGTATTATATTACTTCTCAATGGATTTGGGCTCTGCGAGATTGGCCGAGAGAAGCGAACGGTAGTATGAAATATCACGGGATTTACATGATATTGAAACAATTTTCTTAAGAATAATTTTTAACGGCTGTGATCATTTTCTTGAAGTATACAGTAAAATAAGTGAGATAAAGAAGATGCAAGAAATAAGAAAATAAACAAAGCTGTTAGTAACTTAAAATCTGAGCTATTAAAAAAAATATATATATATATATCATTTTGCTTTCATTTTACAAATAAAATAACAATACAGTATTATAACTCGTTCCCAGAAATGAAATCAGGCTAAAATTCGCAGACTTCTCTCAGGGTCACATACTCAGGGACGATAAATAAAATGCTTAATGAAACAATGAATTAATCAAAATCAAATAACTTATGTTAATTACATATTAAATAACAGTTATGTAATGATGATAACTATTTCTCTCCTTTCAAGTAGACAAGATCCATGCTAGATAAAACCCTGATCGTATTAAAAATGTCATAGGTCATGAGTTGCCGCTATAAATCTTAAGGAATACCCCGTCAGCTCTTTTCTCTTTTTTCCTTCTTTACATATTCATAGAGGGGTATATCCAAGTACCATGGCCAATAATGCACAACGGTTCATATTCGTTCTTATATCATATTTATTCTTTTTTAGACAGAAGGAGACTAATAAAGTATCGGCATAAAGAATAGTTTAAATATCATTCCATACAAGTTTATTTAAATTGTTCACAATGTCCTCACAAGGTGAGGAGAAACGTACCTATTGATTATAAAATTTAAAGAAATTTACTCTTAAAAAAATTTACTTTTTATTTCATGATTACATTGGAAATCATTCCATCAAGTTTTTGTAATTATATATTTTTGAAACAAATTTCTTATTTACTTCTTTTGAAGATTTTACTTTACAAATAATATTGATCTGAATGTTGGCTAGAAGGAAACATTTAATTCTTAAATTTGTTAAGTAACTTATTTAGTAACTACTTACCTGTTCAAATGCAATACCACTTCAGTCTAGTATCCTTAAATAAACTCTTAAAGACAATGACAAATTTAGGACATTTTTTTTTTAATCAATACATTAGATCATAAAACTGAATAGCAAAGATATAACAACACCATTTATTACAAAATTGAAAATCATAATTGAGATAAGGGTCAAGGAGAAGATATAGATACACCATTTTATATAATAAAAATAGGTTTATTTACCAATTACAAATACAGAAATAGTCAGCTAATATATTACTATCGTATGACAATAATATAGAACATGGCATCATCTCCATTTTGTAAAACACATTAACTTTTCATTTAATCTTAAATTATATTCATAATAAATATAAAAAATATTCTAGTTTCATTTTCCATTGCTAGTAGTAACATGGATTGGAGAATATAAAATTATAAAACGTTTATTTAGATGAACCTTAGTTACATTTTCTTGTTGAAGTAGCGACACACAGGACAAGTGCCACATGAAATATTTTGTCTTGAGCGTCGGATGAACACCAATGGATTACCTAAAGCCAAAATAATTTTAATAACACAATATTCCGAAATGTTAAGACAAAGCTTAGATTATATAGGTTTTAAACCAGTGAAAAAGAAAACAGGGGTAAAAATCACAAATATTGCTATTAAAGGATTCATTAACATTTGTTCGGATCATAAAATAATGATAGAAAATAAACATAAAAATGAGAAAGAATTTTTGATGGTTTCATTAAAAGTGGCAGGAGGTTGCAATACATAGTTCTACAACAAGTACCTGAGGAAGTTGTTGATAAGAACTTAAAGTTTAATAGACCAAAGGTTGCTAGATAACAGGTGGTGCGGCATTTTTAGGTGTCTGAGATGTTTTCAGTATTCGATAGAAATTATCGAGCGCTATATTAGCGTTCAAAACCTACATCACAGCCAAAACACTCACAACATAAGGAATATACAATAAAAAGCTAGTCGATACTTGTTTATTCTTCGCCCTATCGTGAAGCCTAGTAGGTTCTTCTCGTTTGCAAAAGTAACGATTGCTGATTTGTTTTGATTTTATTTACAAATTATAATATTTTTAAATTTATTTTCACCATCTTTCATAAGATTTCCTTAAAACACAGATAAAAACAGATGAATGATTCTAAATTCAAAGAGGTAAATTTGGCATCTACCGTAGCGGGGTACAACTGACATTGGATTAGAATCATTCACTATTTATTGGATTAACTCTTTTTATCACTCACTGCCACTGATTACCAGAAATGTTTTCATCACTTATCTCTGAGCGTTGTCAAATATGTTATGGAATAGCACGCAGTAGTTATATTCCAAATAGAACAATGTGACATGTACTAATGGTTAGAGAATATTGACTCTGAATTATAATGGTTGCCTAGGTCCTGTACCACATGTTCGCGGCCTACACAGAGATGGGGGCTTCCAACATCCTTTACACAGACATCCTGGCAGGCTTGCTCTCCTTCTTCGTGGTGGCCGTTGGAGGGACAGTCATCGGGGTGATCTGGGGATTCGCCACGGGCATGGTAACCCGATACACCGACCAGGTGAGGGTCATCGAGCCCATCTTCATCTTCGTCATGGCCTACCTCGCCTACCTAAACGCCGAGATATTCCACATGTCCGGCATCATGGCGTAAGTAAATATAACATATCTTTTATTACTCATGAGAAATGGGTATATGATATCACATAAACAATTATGTAATTTAACCAGGGATCTACTGTCTGGGAGGACAGCAGTTCCCATAGCATATCATAATACTAAACATGTCCACTATCTATATCATTATATCTATTGAAGACAGAGAGGGGTACACAAAAATGTAGCTGTCAGACATAAAAATGCTTTTACTTATAGGCTAATTTAGAATAGTAATAAACAATACATTACTAATTAACGTTACAGCTTGATATTTGAATTTTAAAGCTTGTTTTTAGTCATAATTCTTCTTATTGTTCAATGGGCCGTACAGTTCTTGTAGGAACTGAGCTCCTGCCACCATTTGTATCCACTCCTCGCGGTCCACGGTTAGTTTCCTCCAATTTCTGATCCGCAGGCACCTCAAGTTTTCTTCCAGATCAACTTTTCAATTTTTAATTAATGCAATCAATTAATCAATATGGCACTTATTTCAATGACTCGCATCGAACAGGTCATTGAAGATATAAAGACAATTGCTTATGATAAAACGTAAAAATTATAGCTTAAAATTTTCAAGTTTATTTAACGCCTCTGCCGTTGGCTATTAAGTCATTCGTCTCCTGGCAGCTTAATACGATTCCGCGATGATTCCATTGCGTGAATGAGTGCCGATCCCATCAGAACTACTGCATCCGACAGAGCAGGACATACTGGGAGGTGCAGGTCGTACGTCTCGTCCTCTTGGCAAAAAGGGCACATGGGGCTTTCTATCACTCGAATCCAATGTAAATGCTTTTGCAGGTGATCGTGTCCTGTCGTCAGGCGGAAGTTCGTCACCAATTCTTTCCTATTTTTATTTCTTTCCTCGGCCTCTCTGTTGAATATTCCTATTTTTTCCCTGCTGCCTGTTGTTTTGCCAATTCTTATTCTCTTCCTTGTAAACGGATTTTAAAATCCTTTTAATATATATGTAGGGCAGCGGAGGCATAGTTTGTGGCATTTCCGAGGCGATCAGTGCTTGCTCATCAGCTTTTTTGTTTCCTGGAAAACCGCAATAGTTTGGAACCCATTAGAATTCCTTTTTCCTCGGATTCCTTTTTTAATTAAATTACTAATCTGATCTCTAGCACTTGTCACATCAGGATGGTCCAGGCCATTTCAAATCGCCAGGTATGACTGCTTGTGAATCGACAAAGATCACAACTTGGGATGATCCTGAAACAAACGGGCATGCCAAAAGTTCATGATTAAATTAGCAACAAATTTCTATTTAAAAAATAGTAATAAATAAAACAATTAGTCTAATATCAATTTTTTAATTATAAATAAATGTGCATACGTAATAAAAAAATAAATTAAAATTATTATTATAATATTTCGAGTCCAACAATTATATTTTGTCACATCCCGATCCTCAATAGCCTTCCCTCCAATTATATATATATCAGGGAATTTATCCTCTTAAATAAAAGTTTGTTCTGAAATTCATTTTCGGTTGCCTTAAATGGAAAAAAAAATCCATGATTACTTAAAACGAGACTAGCTCACAAAGTTAGCTGTAGTCAAACTCCACCTTGGAGCTAATCCGGACTTCATATACAAACGCAATGACAGAGCTGAACTTTGGCCTTTCTATATCGCAATGATCATGCAAGCCACAAATAACGTAGTTGGATTCTACCGATAATTACTTCTTTTTAATACATGTGAAAAAATGTTTGTTAAAAATCAATTCTCAAAAAAATTTTAAAAACAACATCATATTAAACTTTATAAGATTACATTTTGTGTGCTTTAATTTCAATAAAGTTAGGGAAGATGGCTTTGTATGTAGTCCCGTCGGGAAAATTGAATTTTTTGTAAGGTATGCTTGTAACATTTTTTTTTTCAGTATAACTTTTTGCGGTATAACTATGAAGAACTACGTGGAAGCTAACATCTCCCACAAATCGCACACTACTATTAAATACACGATGAAGATGCTAAGCAGTTCTTCGGAGACCATCATCTTCATGTTCCTCGGAGTAGCTACGGTCAGCGATTCTCATGATTGGAACACTTGGTTCGTCATCCTCACCATCTTCTTCTGTTCCGTCTTCAGGGCCATCGGTGAGTTGTTTAATATATAAATTTATTTAAAAGCTATTTAATTTATATAGTTTCAATTCGACATCATAATTTTTTTCAATAAGTTTCAGTTTTTTTTTTAAATATATACATTTTTTTTGTTTTATTTTCAACATTTTTTTATTTCGGAGCAAATAATGCAGGGAGACGTACTTTAAATTATAGGTCATGGGAAGGAGTTCATATTTGTCACCTGAACCTGATTCATTACGTATTATATATTAGATTTATATTATGACGTTGTAATGATTAATGAGAAATTAATATGTACTTTTCGATTGTGATTGCAGGTGTGATTATCTTGACGGCGGTGGTGAACAAGTTCCGGTTGTACAAACTGAACAAAGTGGACAAGTTCGTGATGTCGTACGGAGGACTGCGCGGCGCCGTTGCCTTCGCCTTAGTCCTGCTGATAGACCCCAGGATCGTCCGCCTCCAGCCCATGTTCGTCACCACCACCATAGCGGTCATCTACTTCACTGTCTTCTTCCAGGTCGGTGTACACAGCCATCAGAAGCAAAGAGTTGTCTTACGTTTAGATTTATGTTGATCTCCCTAAGTCAGTAACGGAAAAAAGATACTACCAAGACACTTTGCCAAACCACTTCAACATCATTTTTGAGAAAAACATGTAGAATTTTATAACCTAGGTAAAAGTAGAATCAAATTTATTAAAAACAAATATCAAAGGCACAGGGAGACTTTTTTTATTTACTATGTAGCAGATCATTTTAGATAACACCGGACATTTATATTTATTTTAAAATGAACAGATATGAAAAGTTTTATGTAATATGAAAATATATTATAGTGGAAAAATAATATTTCTAGTCTATAGCGGCTAAATATTAATTTAAAGATATTAAAAATTGCATGAATATATACCTTTTTTAATATAAATATATATATATATAAATACACACAGGGGTGCCCAATCCCCCAAGGCCGATGGTGCGTAAAACTTCCTCCACCCCTCCCAAGATATTTTATTTCTCTCTTCTTCTTAAATACAGTGCAAACGGAAGTAGAATTTAAATATTCGTAGATTATATACCATTAGACATCCTGTGGTCTGTTCCATGATTCCACTTGTCTTTTAATTTGAAACTATTCGTTTTTAAAATTCATAACCCCGTCAAAATGTGTCCCCCTCAAAAATTGAAAACCCGGTCAAAAAGTGTCATCTTCATTAATTTTGATGGCGCAACATGCGCCATAAAATTCCCTTCTGGGCACCTCTGCATATACATATATTTTAGCCATTAAGTTGAAATGAATGAGTGATATTTAAACTTAATTGTTCATTTTATTTATCCCATTAAAATACAAAGCTTCCCTACCTTCTGCAATGAAGAAGCACAAATAACCAAAATCTTTCGAAAAGATTTATCTATACATATATTATTTTATTTAAGGGAATAACGATCAAACCTCTTGTGAAAATCCTAAATGTCAAGCGAGGTGAAAAGAGGAAACCAACAATGAATGAAAGAATACATGAAAAAGTAAGTAGGCAACTCAATAGATTATTCTAATCACTTTATACACTTTCAAATGTAGTAATTCATTTAAATAAATAAATTTTTAAAAATAAATAAATTAAAAAATTAGAATTTTTTTCTTGAATTTTTAATATGATTCACAAAAGTTTGCATATTACTTTTTTATTGAATTAAAATTTGTTGGTTTATTTTTTAATTTCTATTACAGTTTATGGACCATGTAATGACGGGCATTGAAGACATCTTAGGTCATCATGGCAACCATCATCTTAGGGATAAGTATGATAATTGTCTTTTTATTATGTATATTTTGTTTATTATTATTACACTTTTTAAACTATCTATTAATAAACGATTGAATATTTCTAAATTAGAAACTTGGACATTTATTTGATATTATTATACTGATTAATGCTATGCATAAATTTCTCCAAAAAACGAGAAAATTTAACAGTTTCTATTAACACATTGTTGACCGACGACAAGTTAATTCGTCATTGCATTTGCATGACAAAATAATTGCTGGTGACACTATATAGTTTATGTTTAAAATTTCTGTTGAATACTTAATAGCTGACAGTTGTATTATAGAGGAACGAAATGGTCCGGGGTAGCAGTCATAAATAGATTAAATAGTGGCAAAATTATTTGCTGACCTGGTTGGGGAGTGGTGAGGGGATAATTAGTAAAAGCAAAACAAAACCTGGGATATTACAGTATCTAAAATTTGAAGAAATTGATGGATACAAGAAAAAATACTATATCTATGAATTAATAAAGAATAAATATATACATATACATATAAAATAGAATCAAGAAATTATAGATAGGAGTACAATGTGAATAAAAACAAAAATGAAAGAAGTAAAACATACATAGAAGTAAAATTTAAATATAAAAATAAAAGACCATACATTGCAGAACTAATTTAGAAGTATAGAGAAGAAACAAATAAGAATAATTATAATTATACTTAGTTGAGCATAAGAAAATTTCATTTAAATATTATATAATATTGAGATATAATGGTTAAAAGTACAATGAATACAAAATAAAAACGGATGAACGTACATGGATGTAGAATGTAAATATAAAATTAAAAATAAAAGAGAGATAAGACAAAGCGGAAATACTTAAAAATAATGTACGATTAAATTAAATTATTCAATAAAAATTGAAAACAGATAAAAAATAATAAGATATAATAAATAAGTTATTTTTCACTTATAAGATTTGTTAAAGAAATACAGTTTTTATCAAATTTATGATTAACAGAATTCTGTTCCATGTGAATGTAGATGGATTCAGAAATGAGTCTTTTTTTCATGGTTAGGGACCATGGCGAGAATAGAGGATTTTTTCAAAATCAAATGAATGGTTGAAGGTTAAGGCATGTTCTGATAGTTTGGAGAAGTAAGGGTTCCGGGAAGTTATGGATGTTTTATGTTGGGATACAAGGGCTTTGAGATGGTTTTTGATTTTACAAATATAAGAACTACTGAAATTAGGAGTAGAGCAAGGTATCCGGTAAACTATATTAGATCGGTGTTATAAAAGTATGGTATCCTTCAAGTTGGTGAAAAGGAAAGAAAGTTTGTTATGGGACTTAAGGCCAAGACGGAAGTTGGTTATAGTCGATTTTAGGAATTTTTGTATAGTATCTGAAAGAATAGGAATATAGGAGAGAGATTTGTATATGAAAGGAGTGGTAGATGATTGTGGGGAGTTGAAAGAAGGGGAGGGTGTACTTTTTTTGGTTGTATAGCTGTTTAAAATTTTAAGTATAGTGTTGAGAGGGAAATTATTGGAAAGGAGCATATTTTTGACACACTGAGTGTTGGTTTGGTGATATTGTGGATCAAATAAAGAGAGAGAACGATGAATAAGGTTTTTGGTGGTATGGGTGCTTAGAATAAAAGTTAAGTGGTCTGCCTGAGTACGTGGATTTAGTATACCAGTCAGTAGAAATAAAGCCGTCAGTGGTTTTTATTATTAGGTGGTCTAAGAAGGGAGATTACCAGAGGGGATTACCAGGTTTGTGAATTTTCGGGAGTCCATATATGTGGGGTGCTAAGGAGTTGTAGGATAAGAGGTTGTAGTAAATGGGACGGTCAATTTGTAGGAGTATGTTCATAATTGTATATATTATACTACAACAATTGTTACCATCTATTTATTTCAGTTTAGGATCTTGTTACTTAGCTTACTCTGTTTATATAACTTATTGTTCTTAATATTTCAATTTACTTACTGTTTATAATTTCAATAAGTTTATTCACCTTGTTAATAATTTTTATCTAAATATTATGTAACTTCCACAATTCTCTATATCCTTTTGTATCTTGTCTATTCTAGTCCTGAGGAAAACCTGTGAAGACGGGTTGAAACGGCTTTTAATAAAATAGTTTTGCCACTATTTTAGTCTATTTATTCTGGTTTGTTAACCAGAAATTTTAAACATAAACTCTGTCGTGTCACCGGCAGTTATTTTGTAATGTAAGTGCAATGATCAATTCACTGTTAGCATTCACTGTGTGATTTCTGAAATTGGTTCCATTCAAAAGACCATAAGTTCTATAAATTACAATAAAAGAAATGTTAAGCAGTATAATAAAGTTTATAAAAAGCTACTATATTACCTCAACTCTGTAATATTAACATAAACAAAAGTTACTTATTTTTATAGATAACATAAGTAATATATTAGTTTTGGGAAGACGGAAAAAAACTTTTATCTGAAGAAATCCATCAACATTTTGTGAATTTTAAAAAATAAATAATCATGAGTAATAGTTTGCTGTGTAAGCACACACCTAATTCAAATCAATATTCATGTACCTGAAATGTTTTGTTGTAAATTACACGAAAATTTACCCCTGCATTGGAATTTCACCACTGTGAAATGACTCATATTTATTATCAATATTTTCTCAGCAAATTGTTCAAATTATTATATTAAAAAAATATATTTTATGTTTAAATATTTTATAAATATATTAAAAATTAAATATAAAAAATATTTTATATTTTAAGATCCTATTAGTTCTGCTCTTAATAAGATTTTTTTCAATAGGTTCAAGAGATTCGACAATAAATTTATAAGGCCTTATTTATTGAGGAATCATCAAGGAGCAGAACCCAAGATTCTTGAAACATATTCTAAATTAGCCATGAGAGACGCAATAGACTATATGAGAAGAAATGCTTCTACAATAGGAAATATATCTGGTACAGAAAGCATGTCTGCTATCTTTAGGAACTACACTACAGGCAATCTCAATGGCAGGTAATTTACTAAACCTTTTAAGATCTAATAGAAACATCAATAACTCATGCTTTATAGAGATAAAAAATACAAATGTATATATTAATGTATGGAATTTTTGTATTTAAATAAAATAATAAAGTAATAATCATTAATTTAGTTGTGATAAATAATTTATAAATTAATGTATTTTTTTGTTATTACGATAAAATTGTTATAGATAATTTTTTACTTTCACTTACCTATATATGAAATTTATGGTAAAGAAAAGTATTTATTTCCCTTACCTATATATGAAATACATGGTAAAGGAAAGTATTAATTTCACTTACCTATATATGAAATATATGGTAAAGGAAAGTATTGCAATCATAAAAAATTTTTAATCTCAGTTTTCAATGGAAATATAAGTTTTGATTGAATCCCTTGAGTCCAAATAACCAAGTCTCACAAAATGGTCTGTGTGTGTGTACGTATCAGGGGTGCCCGGAAAAGGGTTTCATGGGGCAAATTGCGCCATTAAAAGTTTTGAGGGGGACACGTTTTGAATTTTTGAGGAGGAGACATTTCAACAGCATTGAATTTGAACAAGAGGAAAAGTAACAAACATGGACGAGACCACAGCAAGTGTATATGATCAACATTTTTGTCCAATTCCTCTTTCGCTTATATTGTTTTAAGAACAGAGAGTAATATAATTTTGTGGAAAGGGGGAGTATATGCCAAACAATATAAATAAAAGACATTAGACTGTTATGAAAAACTTATGGTAATTAATTGTTTTAAGTAATGTTTCTTATCCTCTATAATTTTTACTTTCACTTCCTTTAATCTTAAAATACTTATTTCTGCTAAGAAGTTGTTAAGTGCAAATTGTGTGATGCACGCACCTCGCCAAATTTTTAAAAATGGAAAAATGTATTTTAAAAAAAACTTTATTAATATGCTAATACTGAACAATTTTATAACCTTATTTGGAAATAAATTCATAAAGCTAAGATAATCTGATTTCACAATTTATGTATTATGGTAAGAGAAGAAATATTTTTGTATGTTGTGTTTAATGGTGCCATTGAACCACTGGTTTTGTTATTGGGACTTTTTTGGAAGATTTTTCCTACAAGTACTTATGTTTAGGCAAGGCTTACTTTTTTTTTTTTTTTTTTGTTCTTCCCTAACCACCCCTCACCTTTTAAGCTATATGGGGTTTTCCCGGGCCAGAGGATGAGGGCGGGGAATTTTAAATCGAACTCATACTTTTTAATCTCACATAAATTCGGTTGTATGGTTTCCAGGTAACTTGCAGTGCTGTGCACACACGTCAGCCCATTCAATCATCCCGCCCCAAGACAAGAATTACTTGAGGATGATTGTTGAATTTCTTGAATAAAATGAACAAGTGGTCTAGAAAAATTAATTTAAAAAAAAAATATGAGACTATTTGCTTCCTAAAAATAATGATAGTATAGGATAATATTAATGAGAGTAATATAATATTATTGTTTAATACATGTGTGTGTTTGTGTATAAATAGTTGCATGTATTGAATTAGTTGCAGTAAATCTTATATTATTTTGAACATTTGCTTATAAATGGTCTACAATTTAAAGACAAAATTAATTCAACTTTATAATTAATGTCTATTAGATCTTCCTCTTTCAGTTACTCACAACTGGATACCAGTACGTGGAACATCGATCTACAAGAACTAGAGTACAATCCTTCCAGAAAAGATCTGACTGATGCCAAAATACATCACCTGCTTGCAGAAGAATTAGTCCAGCCCTACAGAAGGGTATACATCTTATTTTAATTTCAAATTATTGGTTTAAAGTATTAATAGCTTAACAATACCTCACGCAATCTGTATGTATGTATATATACCACATATTTTATTTATTTGATGTCGAATGAAAATAAGTAAATATGTTTTCTCTGGATCCTTCATATTTTTGAGTTAAAATCATTAATATTTACATTTTTCATTTTTTGCTTCAAATTAATATCGTTAACTAAAACTTTTAAAAATTACATAATTAAATACAGGTATTAGTTAATAAACAAGATAAGTCCCAAAGATTTTAGTAATCATGCCAGAAAAATTTATCTGAAGTACCTTTATTATTTATTTATTTCGTTCCTACCTTGCCTCTTGGCAACACAAACTTGGGTAGAAGTGTTGCAATACTTCTACCACATTCTGCGATTCTTCTTTCTTCTAATTCATTGGAAGAGGTTGAAATGATTGATTCCCGCTAATTATTTCCACCCGTACATGAAAGCTTTGTAGTTTTCCTTGCTTACTAGCTGAGGAAAATTATCCTCTGTAATGACATAGAATCATCTTGTCTCGGATGAAAAACCTTGTCTCAAAAGCAGCGCAGCTCATGACATGCTCAGCAGTTCCTGAAACACCACAACAAGGACATAAGAAGTTAATTTCCTTCACTGACGAATGAAGCTAGGCGCAAAATCCCACATGTTCTGTGAGGAATTGTAACACCCAATAATCAGGGAGCACCCATTTTGCTTTCAACCTTGAATAGACAGTTAGAAAGTATCTGCAAATAGCTTTGAAGCACCTGTCATTTATTTTTGAATATATATTTATTAAAAACTCCTAGTATTATTATCATTGTTATAAGAATTAAATTTAAGTTTCATAAAAAACCTTAATATTTTAAGTATATATTTTTGTTTTAGGAATATATTTCATAACAATTTAATCTCTAAAAAAAAAAAGTTCATAAGAAAAAATTGTCATCTGCACATTATCAGAATATAGTTTATTTTTTCTACTTGATCAGTGATTTATTATTGTATATAATTTGTTAATAAATACTTAATTTCCTAATATGTAATATTTCTCTATTTGATATGAAAGCAGCACAGGCGGTTAAGCTATTCAAGGCATGCAGTGAACGATAGAGATCTTTCAACTCAAGTTAACTATAGAATGCATATGAACATAAGGAGATTGGTTGGAGATCAAAGGAGGCATCATCATAAGAGAAGTAAACGTTTAAAAGTGAGTACAATAAATATTTTAATTTCTTTTTAACTGCGATTCCTGTTACTGTTTCTAGCATACAATATTATACCATTTTTAATGCCCTTTTTTGTTAGAATAAGTTTATAAGATAATTTTATGATTCTAGGATGGTAAAAATCATGTCAGCTTCCCAGGAATACAACAAAATGGTTCAGCAAAACAGTTTAGTCATGGTAATAAATTTAACTTGAGCTTTTTCATTCACAAATAATCTGTCACTTGACATTTTTTTCAACATTTTACAGATTTATAAATTTATACATATACAATAAAGTTTTGAAGAACTGTGAAATGTTTGAATAAAAAACATTGGTCACTATTGCATACCTTCTTGCTCAAATCTTTGTCAGTACCCTTGTTCATTTTAAATTGTTATAATTTGTTATTATTTTTACTACTTTTAGGCTTTTAAAAATTCTTGCTTTTAAAAAATTAAATTAAAGTAATTCTGGACCAAAATTTCTAATTCTAATTATCACGTCAATTTTTTAGTAGAAATATTAAAATTGACAATATTCATTTTGTTCCTTCCCTCTCCCTCTAATAAAGTTATTTATAATTATTTTTTAATATATGATTGATTATGTGGGATATTTAACAAGCCAACATTTAAAAGATTATATATTTCAAAAATGCATCACCAAATAATTTGCAAAATCTGACTTATTAGCTACCTCTTACTAACTAAAAAATAATGATCAATCATTTAATGCATACAACCATACTATATAATACATATATTCAAGTCCACAATTGTTACCCAATCATTAGAAATGAAATTAGAACTATTAGTTAATACTTTGTTAACTTACAAACATTTTTCCAACACCAAAATACGATAATATGAAGTATATGTTCTTTAAAAATGTGTAATTTACTTAATGGGATTTTTATTTTTTAGATTACCTAGAAGAAGTAATACAGGAAGCAGAAAATGAGGATGAAAAAAGGAAAAGAAATGGAAGAGATGACTGGGAGAGTGGAATAACATTCACTGCACATCCATCACGTAAGTACTGTAATTTTCACTGTAAGCATATATTCTATATTTTGTAAATAACACATAGTCAGTGCCAATAAATTTCAGAAATAAATGTTGGTATTATGAGTAAGGCAATGCCAATTACTTAAAGAAACTATTCATTCATTGTATTCACCAAGAGTTATCTAAAAACCAAAATAATAATAATAATAAATAAAATTCACAGTGTTTATATCAAGAATTATTATTATCGTTGTAATTCAATTAAAAATTATATTAATTGAGTGTAAAATCATAAATTATATATTATTTTCATGTAACACAGGAAAATTGATATTCATAAAATAAATAAAGTTTAAAAAGTAGGGAAAGGTTTAGAGATTAATGATCAAAACAAAACAATGCCTACTGCTATAACATAAATTTAAACTGCTATTCACTGCTGATATTGAGATAAAATTTAGAAAGAATATTTACATTTTTTGTGAAGCGGGTGCTGCTTTATGGCTGTGAATTCACATTCTAGTTTGAGTTAACTTACACACAAAAAATTGTACACACACTAACTTATGAAGACTAGCTAAAGATAACATTTTTTCTTATCTGCTCTTCCCACATATCCTCCATTCATCATTGTGGCACCAAATAATTGATGAAAAGAGTTTACTTTATTATTTTAATTTAATATTTAAAATACTTTACTGAAAAACAATAACGACTTATCTATAATTAATAATATAGGAAGGATTTTGGAATGAAATTATTTTTAAGTCTGAAGTATTGTTATATGGCCAGGATTTTTTTATGATTTCATGTGTTGAAGTTCAAACTAAATTTCTGACCTCTTTTAATTATCTGAAAAAGCAGTCACTTATGAGTCATACTTTTAAGCTAGATTAGAATAATATTTGAACTTAAGTACAAATTAACTATATTGGAATTACAAATTATATTTTAATAAATCTTAATAGGGAGTATTGTCCTTTCAATTTCAAACATATAAAATCACTTCATATTAGCATTTCTGTACAAACAAATTTTATTTGAACAGATTAAAACAGGCAATGCCTTATAATTATTGGCTAGATATATTCCTTTTGATTGGAAAAAATAGATTGGAACTGACTATTACTGCCAATTTAATGATCCACAAAACCGCGTCATATGTTTTTATTCCAAGAAGACACCTATACGGGTAAAAGCTATTTAATTTACACTTTTTTTTTTTTTTTTTTATTTAATAACAAGTATAATTTCTTGTGTTTACTATGTGTTTAAAAAAAAAAAAAAAAAAAAAAAATTGGAGAGCTATTCTTCTGTTGCATGGTTTTGTGTGTTCTCTCTGACTACTTGGACAGATTAATGTATTTTTAATGAATGCTATGAGAAAAACAAGAATCAGTTTGAATACCTTTGATAAAAACATAAGTGTCTGTCCAAAGGCTGTTTAAATTGATGCACCAATAAAATTAGTAAATTATGTCTTTTTTTGGTTCAAAATTTATCTATCTTGTTCATAATTGCTCATGCTTTCCTTGAATGTCTATTATTTTTTATTTACTATTATTCTATAAATAGTAATATTTTTTTATAAACTTCATATTGCATTTGTTAGCATGATTCATCGACAAATTTTAATTTAAAATACATTTTTATAAATATAATATTTTACAATTAAATTAAAAAATATTTAATTATAATAGTTATATAAAAGTAATCATGCCTCCTTCACAGTTCTTTAGGCATTTTATTTTTTTTTTTTGGCATTTAGCCGCCAAAATTAATAAAAATTATTATTATTTTATATAATATTGTATATACACAAAACGTTTTAACATTAATGTGTCATGAATGATTATGTAAATATGCAATGTAAAAATTTTGCATGTTTTCTGAGCTGCCAATGAAATTCAAGTAAATAAAACAAAAGAAATTTCCATCATTTAAAGACAACTTTAAAATATTAAGACAAATTTATAGAAAAGATCATAGAATTTTTATGAGCAGAAAAAATATTAATCGAAGGTGGCTAATAATTCTTAACACATGAGATAAAATAATTTTATCTCATTAAGATAAAATAATTGAACAATATACAATAATTTTGCATTTATCGGGGAATACTTTTACAGACTGTAAAAGAAAATGTATCAAATTATAAAAATAGAAAATTTAAGTAAAAAACATCAATGACAGCATCTTTGAATATTACTTTACTTATAGACCATATGATAGTAAACTGTTGGATTTTGGCAGTAGTGGTTTTAGGATTCAATTTTGAGAACTAAACTTTCTTTTTTATAACAGTAATTACAAGAACAATAATACTTTTAGGGATAAAATGTATATATTTTTACTTGACACATGCTTACATTTGGAAGCTGAAATACATGCATTAAAATTTAATAAGAGAACATATTATGATTGATTATTTCCTTTATGGAGAGTAGGGCTTCAGTCGGAAACTTTTTCCCTCCTCCTTTAATCTGTCAAAGGATTTTAATAATTAATTTAGGGCTGATTAGTGATGAGACAGTATAAGGTTTTGAAAATGAATGTATAAACTTTAAATTGTATCAAACAAAATGAATATAGTACAAAAAATAGGTGCACAATAAATAATATTTTTTGACAGAAATATAAATAAAAAGAACAGGAGAAACAACGTTGTAATTAGGTTAATTCTAAACATATTCATTTGATGTGGAAGAGAATAATGAATGTGCCTATGTATTATGTTTAGAAAACATTTGGAGACTTAAATTTTGAGTTTTCTTGATAAGTAAAATTAATAATTGGCAGGCTCACATCTCCCAAAAACATAAACAAATAATCACAATTTCGTTGAAGTATAAATGATTAATGCACATGAAAGATCTGTCAATTTCAAAGCTGATTTTCTGATTTGGTTTCCAGAAACTAACTGTACCACTCTATTAACCAAAGACACTATAAATTTATAACTCAGAATCTGCCTAGGACAACATTCGTGCTTAGATTGGAATTCCCAAAAAGTATTTATAATGCAAAAATCTAACAAAAATGCCAATAATCCACCTTCATATAGACATTAGTTGACTTCCAGTTTTCTCAAAAATTGTGTTCAAATAACTTGCAAACATATACACGACATACTGTAGACAACTGAATACTACTTTAGCACTAATTCAAGTCTGATTCCATTCAATACACTCTACCATAAACCAACTATAAAGAGCAAAATACTAAATTTTTCTTAGCCTGATATGGCTCAGAAGCAGTAAGGGCCAGAGTACCTTACTAAACACTTGCAACAACCAATAGACACTCCCATAGACTCAGCAACATATTTAGACATAAAATTAAAAATCTGGTGTGTTGTGCACATCACACAACTTTCACTTACAACCCTCTTCTTAGCAGAAATAAGTATTTTCAGACAAAGGTGACGTGTATGAAAACCGCATATGTATATGTATATAATATTGTCAGATTTTGTATTATATTAACCTCATGTTATGTATGGAAGCTTCTAATCTTTCGGACGAGTTTGGGTGCGCTCATATTCCTTTGGTTCCCCAATTACAACTATTCTCAGTTACGATCTCTTATTTCTCCTTTAGTTAATTACCAAATTCTTTCATATTTTATATTTAACAATCTTTTGTATTACAGATTAATGTGAAATGGTCAATTGTTTGAAATAAAAAAAAAATTAAAGGTACTTTAGAGGAAGCTAATATTGAAAATTAGCCATTTCATTCCTGTTAGAGAACATCAGTCAGAATAAAAACTACATTTTATTTTAAACTGCTTAATTTTACACTGATATAAGGAATTTAATCAAAATCATTAGAGCCATTTTTGAGGAAATCGTAAAAAAAGTGTTTAGTCCACGATATAAAGTGCCACTTCCGGTTAACCGATTTTGACGAATAAGTTGCTGTAACATCCCTCGTGTATAAAAACCTTAAATATGCAATTTCATTTTCGTACGACTTTTCGGTTTTGAGCTAGACTGTTAACATACACACACAGAACATTTTGCGGGACTTGGTTATTTGGATTCAGGGGACCTCAAAACGTGTATATCTGTTGAAAACTGGGGTTGAAAAATTTTCACAATCGCAATACTTTCCTTTACTATACATTTCATATTTATGTAAGTGAAAGTAAAAATTAATAGAAACAAATTGAGACCTCATGATTGTTCTTGGTCCTTCCAGGAAATTATTTAGGATGATGAAAACTTAAATAAATGATCGTAAGATGTATAACAATGTACAGTACTGACAAAAGAGGAAAAATTTGAAATCTTTGAAACATATAAAGAACATCATTAAAAATAGCATAATACTGTTAATCAACTAAATAATAGGATGATTAAGCTAATCATTTTTTAAAAATTAATTGATAAGTATTATAGTTAATTAAAAATAGAAAAACAAAAGATTTTTTTAATTAAAAAAAAAGTTTAAATTGTGCTGAAAATAATAGAAAAGTTTTCCTTGTTAGTACCAAAACAGATTTTTTTTTTTTGTTTAAATAAATTAAACAGAAAGTTTTGGTAAAATATTTGTTTGAGGAATCTAAATGAGGGCTGAAATAATTTCAAATATTCAAGAGGGTTTAACATAAATTTTAAGTAATTTATTAAACATATATTTTAAGTTATACTCTTGGGTTGAACTGAAAAAATCTGGTGCACACAAAACACAACTTTCACTTACCTCTCTACTTTTAATAGAAATTATTTTCTGGTAATGTTGGGCTATTACAACATTTTTGAAGTTCATTTTAAACGGAGCTAAAGCTTAAAGCTTACAGATAACAAATCATTAAGACCATTAAAATTACAAAAAGTCTATTTATTATACCGACGGGAGGCAATAAAAATCCAGTTACTCCATATTCTTTTATAAACTACATAACTTCAGTCTCTGAGCCTTTCAGCTGACAGAATAACTCGCTCCAATTTTAACATTTTTGAGTTATGTTATTTAGTGATATTTCTAGTTGGAAAAGTTATATCTATACAGACCGTGAGTAAGTTGATTCCAGAGTAGGTGATTACAGTTTTGAAATATAGAATAGTGAATAAAGGTATAAATTTTCCCACTAGAAACTTCACTAAAATTAATAATAAAGAATATTGAAATTGGAGTTAGTCATTCTGTCATCCGAAAGGCTAAGATATGCCTAGAGAGATTTTAAAGTACACCTGAATATTTAACCTATAAATAATTATGGATTGTAGGACTATCAGTTATTAAACTGTTATTTTCCATTGTAACGTTTACTAAAATCAAATTACGAGATTTTCATTGCCTGTCATGGATAGGTCAAAAGTTGTCACACTAATTGTAAGTGCATAATGTTGGGATTTCACAAAGGAAAAATTCATCAAATGATTCACTAATTTAATTTTCTAAAAGGTTACTTGATAATTTTTTGGAATAAACGGCCAATAGATACCTAATTATTTAAATATAATATCATATCTATAGTTATTAAGCTACAGCAAATGTATTTAAGGTTATAAACATATCTATGAAATATTTCACCTCTATTTCATACAAGTACAACTAAATAGTATTTTAAACAATGGCATTGGCATGATTTTTTAAATTATAAATATAAATAAATCATAAATCACATAAAATTTCACAGTGGGTTTTAAATACTTCTTTTTCAAACTGAAAAAAAACAACTAAAAGTTAGCATTTAGTAGGAAAATTTCATTTCATTTCATTGGAAACATGTGATTTACATTAAATAATGTTAGTTTTCTGAAATTATTATTTATATTTTTTTTTGTCGCTCCTGTACCTTCTACAACTTCATTTATTTGATATTATTTTTTCTGAAATTCTCCACTTTCCAACAATATATTATACGCATACCTTCTGACTGTGATTTCCGGAGATTCATTTTCAACCTAGATAAGCATTTTTCTTTTTTTCTCCAGTTTACAATTATGATATTCTTTCAAACTTCACAGTTTTTATATTTACTGTCAGTAGAAGAGTTAATTTTTTTAAATAATCCTTTGATATGGATTATTTAAGCCCTGTAAAGTGACATCAATAGGAATAAGACCTAAATAATATTAAAGACCACTTAATTATACAATGATACACTGAGTTTAACCAAAATTGTTAGAGCCGTTTGTGAGAAAATTGTAAAAATTGGTTTCGCCATTGATATTAAGTGGCACTTCCGGTTAGCTGATTTTAAGGAAAAGGTTGCTGTAACATCTGAGGTATATAAAACCTTAAATATGCAATTTCACTTTCTTAGGGCTTTTCATGTTTTAGTTAAATTGCTAACACACACACAGACCATTTTGCAGGATTTGTTTATTTGGGCTCAGGAGACCCCAAAACATGTACTTTCGTTGAAAACTCAGATTCGAAAATTCTAACCCTTATTATATATTTCATATTTAGGCAAGTAAAAGTAAAAAAACACAGAATAATAAGACCAATTTATATTTTAAAGATATATTTGATCAAAACTAGAAAAGTATTTAAATGTGCTAAAAAAAAAAGAGAACAAAAGAGAACCTTCTGAGAAAAGAGAATTTTTAATTAGTAATAACAGTCGTTCTAATTAATTTATTAAAACAATGCAGGTTTTTAGCCACTATTTTTTTTTTTTTATCTTCTACCTCAAACAGGTAATATGTTTTTCATTGAGTATATAGCTTGGTCTAAAGGCTCTTAGCATAGTGAGAGATAGTGGTACAAGCAGCCATTGTGGTAATGCGCTGGAATTGTAATTTAGTCTGCCTTGGAAATTATTAAAATTATGTAGAACTGTCATTTTGAAGTTATCATGTAGTGCTACAGATGTAAAGATGTATTCAGGTGTTAAGTAGTATTATAGATGCAAAGGGCCTAGAATTACAATCCAATGATTTTTTTTTTAATCATCTAATTCTGAAGAAAAATGTCTTTGTTTTCTACACATATAAAAAATTAAAATGTTTTCAGAAAGGTAAATACGTGAATTAAGGCCATCGTATACGATTACTAATGAGTTGCTTAGTTTTTCTAATTCATACACAAGGGTAAATAAATAATACTCTCAAGTAAGTGAATAAAATGTAATAGATATTTTAAGAGAAAATAATTTTCATTTCTGTATAGAAGAAAAAATTAAACCTATATTTTAGAATAATTATTTAGCAATGTATACAATATTAAATTAAAATTATACCAGCTTGACTTGATGAAACATACTGATATGTACAAGAAAAACATATTATTTTTGTGAATCACATAAACAATACATTGACTGCCATTAGATATACTTATTTAAAACAACATATAGTAACAAAATTTTTAAATAATTTAATAAAACTGTTATTGTCAGTAATTCTATACAGTAATTTGCCAATGCAATATCCATATGTTTATAAATAAACTTTTATTTAACACATCAAATTAACTAATAAATATCCAACACTTAAGACAAGTTAACAGATAACTAACTAATTTGAATAATACTTTTATTAATATTATATAGTGCGTGAAATTAAATCAAATTAGCATGCTGAGATAGGAAATGGACTTCTAAAACATCTTTTCGGTGAAAAGCCTTATTACAACTTTGGCAATGAAAAGCAGGAGGTTTTCCACAATGAAACTTTATATGTCTCAAGAGATGATGCCGATGTTTGTAAGATCGGTAGCAGTTTGAGCAGTTATGTCTTTCTTGGAACATTCCTAAAGAAAAAGAAAATTGTTACATGATTTTCATTGAAGTAAATAAAAAACATTTTATTACTATAAAAAACCCTAGGTACACCTTATTGTATATCTGAAACATTGAGTACAAGTTTCTCTAATATTTAATAATTTATAAATATAAGATGTTACTCAATATAATCCCAGAAATAATAAATAGCTCCTTCCAACATAAAATATTTCTATTCACTTGAACAGCATATACTATTCCAACAGTACCCTTACCTCGGTTTCAGCACCATAAAATTTTAAAATAAATAAAATACATTTTAAAAATTATATTATAAAAATTATACAGCACTATTTGCTTAAATATTTACAAGTTCCTGGAATAAATGTAAATAAATAACTTTAAAAATACACAGTCTTATTCAAGAAAAAAAAAATTATAAACTCGATAGATTTTTATTAATATATCACAAACATTTTCTACCAACATTGTTACATGTTTATGTTTATACAAATATAAACATAAATTTTACAGCATTTTGAAATCTTTATGTTTACTGAAAACATGGAAGGTTAGCGATTGTTTACGACTAAATCCTTTCGGACAGTGAGGGCATAGAAAAGAAGGAGCCTTACCGCATTCATATCTAACATGTCTATTAAGATGTTTTTTATATTTATATTTGCGCCCACAGGAATAACAATAATGGCCCTCTTCTGTTGATTCTGAAAGATAATAAAAGAGCATTAGTGTTACCGATTTTCAGGCTCATAAGGATTAAAGCAAACAGTTAATTGCTTAATTAATTCCTTAAACTTTTTAAACATATTGAATAAACATAACTATATATCTTAGATGACAGACAATATTACGACAATAACACAAGTTGCTTAATTATGCTCAATATTCAAAATATAGATGGATACAAGCAGCCATTATTTTTTTATGAATGAATAAATAATTTAAATACAGTTTACACAAAGTAAAATAATATCTGCAATACATGGTAACAAATAAGTAAAATAAAAATGAAGAATAGTGCATATTTATTCTAAAAACGTCTAACATTACCACAGCAATAGTCTAAATACCTTCTGTTACCAGAGCTACAGCATAACTACTAATGTGCACTGATTATGTAAAGTATTCTTTTCTCTATTTTTGCCCTGGTCGTTATTTTGTTATTCTTTTACAAATTTTTTTATGTTGTCTCTTATATATGTTTTTTTTAACCCACTTAAAGGAAGTACATAAAACTTTATTTTGAATGGTTAAAATTGAAATATATAATGTCCATTCAGTATCTTGCAAATAAATAAGTAGTTAACCAGTAAGAAAATCCAAAATTATAAGATTTAATAATCTTATGATTCGATGTCAACTAATTCAGATTTCATCCCTTGAAGGTGTATAAGTCAATTTTCTTTTAATTCTATAAATACCAATACTTCACTCTTTTGTTTAACCCTTACATTACCATTAAACAGATAATATCAGTCAGGAAATATCTGTTAAATAAGTTATGTAAATAAGGGTTATCAATAAAGAAAATGTTTCATTTGTAAAATTTGAAACTTGCTTAGAATCCTATTTTATTTATCAAGACATTGTACAACATCAAAACGTCATGTACTATTATGCATTTATATAATTTTGACTAGACCCTGGAAAATTAGCTTGAACTTTTTTTTCTTTTTAATGTCTTCAAGAAAAACCAGCAGTAAGGGACAAAACATGAGCTTATGCATTTTATTGACAAAAGTAATAAACCAACAATTTTTCATTAACTTATCTCTTTAAGGATTATAAGAAAGATGTTGAGTTAAAACATATACTGTGTCAAATAATTTGCTTACAAAATTACATTAAAGTTGTAATAAAATAATGATATATAAATTTGTATAGAATACTTTTTTTATTAAAAACACAAAAATTACTTCAATGAAAAGATTTTCAGGGGTAGTCAACAGAAAATACATAATTACTGTGTTTTATTTTGATCACTCTCATTTCCTGGATTAATATCCATTAAAATTGTATCGAATACACTATAAAGTATGAAGAATTGGGAATATATTTATTGTATTTAGACAATTTTAATAGCAATATTCTTTCATAGATATAGTATTAATAATTTCATTAAAGATTGTGCACGAAACATATATAATAAAAAACAACATTTATTGTGAAACATCAATAAAGAAAGATAATAAATATTTAAAAGAACATGGACTTTTTGACAGGTCTTGAAGCAAAAATTATACCTATATATCAGGACAATAATTTGAATGCTTACTAAAAACATGTACTTTGAGTGCATGGTTTTGAGTGAATCCCTTATGACAAAATTGGCATTTAAATGAGGGAGGTTTCCCACACTCATATTTGACGTGCCTGTTAAGATTTTGTCTATTGGAATAAGTACGCTGGCAAGTAGAGCAAGTATACCTTCTTCTCTCTGAATGACAAAAATAAAATAAAAATTAGATATCAATAATGTCATAAATTTAATATTAATTATAGCTAATGTATATATGTTTAATTTTTGAACATTTTTAAAAACCAGTAAAATAATTCAACAAAATAAAATAACAGACTCCATAGAGTATTTCCATACAAGTTTTAATTAAATCTAAAAAGTTAATATATTGAATCGATTCATAAGTATTAGTCAAAATTATAAATAAATAAAAAGTATTTGATAGTATAAGAATTTATTATGTATGATAATAACTGTCACAATGATTTTAACAATTTTATAAACATAAAAGTAAAGAAAATGCATCAATTTATAACAGTACAATATTATTAATAATGCTTTGAACTTATGAAATATGTTTACAAATTATCAAAGTATGTATCATAAAAATAAAATAATTCATTTACTGATTACACCATGTTTATTGTAAACATGGAATGTCATGCGTTCCTTTCGAACAAATCCCTTGTTGCAATATTGACAGATGAATGTTGGAGGTTTTCCACACTCATATTTGACATGCCTATGAAGATTATGCCTATTAGAATATGTTCGCTGACATGCAGGGCAACTATATCTTCTCCTCTCTGAAGAAAAACATATAATTATAAATATACAGCTAATATATCACAGGATCAGATTTAATAATAATAAATGTATTAATTTAACGGTCTTTAAAATATTATTTTAAAAAAAGGAGAAATTGCAAAAAAAATCATTTTATTATTTGGTATTGTTATTATATTCTCTAATATGGACAGGAAGAAGAGGTTGACTGTGGTTAGCCCACTTATTTTAATCACAGTAAGCCAAGTTTTATTCCATAGACTTGCAATAAAATAAAATTAGATGTTCAAAAGCCTCATGTCTGACATTTCAATCTTATCAAATAACATCACACATACTAATTGTCGCAGGCTGAATGACAGATGTGAACAAAAAAAAATAAAACTTAAAAAAAAATCTTCAAAGATCAGAATCACATAGTATATTTGATTGTTTCTGGCTTGATTGTTATTTTTGACCACTCAACAGTGCTGTTCGAGCACTATGTTGTTTAGACATATAAATAATAAGTTATGTGATACTCAATTGATTTATAAAATACAGTTAAAGAATAGCGTACTTCGATAAAAAGAATTTATTTGACTTATCAACAATAACAGAATAAATTTAAAAGAATAAAATGTCAATATTTTAAAACTTATAAAATATACATATTTGTTTTCATAATTAAACTAAAAAGCATTTTAACTAAACTGTATTTTTGATTCTGGTCTTTGTTCTGATATGAATAAAATCTTTTATTTATCTCTCTCTAGAAAAGTCTATTACAGTTGAAGTATAATTTAATTACAATTAAATTGAAGGTTAAATCTTTTCAACACAATAGCATTTTTCATCATGGTGTCTTCCTTAGAGTAATATATATAGTAAACAAAATTCTACCAAATAATCTGAATACAGAAGTTTAGAGATCTTATCAAAATAATATTTGTAAATATTAAAAGATTTTTGCCTAATATTTACAATACATCTATATGTTAACATGATAATTTGAATGCTTTAAAAAACCTATATATCAGGACAATAATTTGAATGCTTACTAAAAACATGTACTTTGAGTGCATGGTTTTGAGTGAATCCCTTATGACAAAATTGGCATTTAAATGAGGGAGGTTTCCCACACTCATATTTGACGTGCCTGTTAAGATTTTGTCTATTGGAATAAGTACGCTGGCAAGTAGAGCAAGTATACCTTCTTCTCTCTGAATGACAAAAATAAAATAAAAATTAGATATCAATAATGTCATAAATTTAATATTAATTATAGCTAATGTATATATGTTTAATTTTTGAACATTTTTAAAAACCAGTAAAATAATTCAACAAAATAAAATAACAGACTCCATAGAGTATTTCCATACAAGTTTTAATTAAATCTAAAAAGTTAATATATTGAATCGATTCATAAGTATTAGTCAAAATTATAAATAAATAAAAAGTATTTGATAGTATAAGAATTTATTATGTATGATAATAACTGTCACAATGATTTTAACAATTTTATAAACATAAAAGTAAAGAAAATGCATCAATTTATAACAGTACAATATTATTAATAATGCTTTGAACTTATGAAATATGTTTACAAATTATCAAAGTATGTATCATAAAAATAAAATAATTCATTTACTGATTACACCATGTTTATTGTAAACATGGAATGTCATGCGTTCCTTTCGAACAAATCCCTTGTTGCAATATTGACAGATGAATGTTGGAGGTTTTCCACACTCATATTTGACATGCCTATGAAGATTATGCCTATTAGAATATGTTCGCTGACATGCAGGGCAACTATATCTTCTCCTCTCTGAAGAAAAACATATAATTATAAATATACAGCTAATATATCACAGGATCAGATTTAATAATAATAAATGTATTAATTTAACGGTCTTTAAAATATTATTTTAAAAAAAGGAGAAATTGCAAAAAAAATCATTTTATTATTTGGTATTGTTATTATATTCTCTAATATGGACAGGAAGAAGAGGTTGACTGTGGTTAGCCCACTTATTTTAATCACAGTAAGCCAAGTTTTATTCCATAGACTTGCAATAAAATAAAATTAGATGTTCAAAAGCCTCATGTCTGACATTTCAATCTTATCAAATAACATCACACATACTAATTGTCGCAGGCTGAATGACAGATGTGAACAAAAAAAAATAAAACTTAAAAAAAAATCTTCAAAGATCAGAATCACATAGTATATTTGATTGTTTCTGGCTTGATTGTTATTTTTGACCACTCAACAGTGCTGTTCGAGCACTATGTTGTTTAGACATATAAATAATAAGTTATGTGATACTCAATTGATTTATAAAATACAGTTAAAGAATAGCGTACTTCGATAAAAAGAATTTATTTGACTTATCAACAATAACAGAATAAATTTAAAAGAATAAAATGTCAATATTTTAAAACTTATAAAATATACATATTTGTTTTCATAATTAAACTAAAAAGCATTTTAACTAAACTGTATTTTTGATTCTGGTCTTTGTTCTGATATGAATAAAATCTTTTATTTATCTCTCTCTAGAAAAGTCTATTACAGTTGAAGTATAATTTAATTACAATTAAATTGAAGGTTAAATCTTTTCAACACAATAGCATTTTTCATCATGGTGTCTTCCTTAGAGTAATATATATAGTAAACAAAATTCTACCAAATAATCTGAATACAGAAGTTTAGAGATCTTATCAAAATAATATTTGTAAATATTAAAAGATTTTTGCCTAATATTTACAATACATCTATATGTTAACATGATAATTTGAATGCTTATTAAAAAGATGAACTTTAAGTGATGAGTTCTGAGTAAATCCCTTATAACAAAATTGGCATATAAATGAAGGAGGTTTTCCACACTCATATTTGACGTGCCTTTGTAGATGTTGCCTTCGTGAGTAACTGCGCTGACATGTAGAGCAAGTAAATCTCCTTTCTAAAGGGCAAACAGAAATTAGATAAAACTATTAATTCACAATATGAATTTTTATTACTGCACATGCATACCTTTACATTACTGTAAAATAGAAATATAAATAAATAAACATTACATTGCTTCATAATACCTGATCTAGGTCCACAACATATAAAAAATGCTATCAGCCATTATTACTGGTTTGTAGCTATTATTTATGTAATTTGATGATTGAGCAGATACATAACATTTGCCATATTTTCTAACTTTTGAAGAAGCAGAGGTCAGCAGCCATAATCTGCCTGAAGCTATAATAAAATGCAAATAGATCTTAGCCACCATGTACTGATTGTTCATGACATAGACACATTCCCAAGCAGATTTATCAAATAGGCAGATTATACAGACAGGCAGCATTTTTCATTATAAGTGAGACAATATTAAAACCCTACAAAATAAATGTTCCACACATTTCCAAAATTTCTGAAGTAAATTTAAGGTAATGTCCTATCAGAAAAATTATCCGTCTTATTAGTTTAAAAATAAAACATAGAAATAATAAAACGTGTAAATTGTATTGACTGAAAAAAAAACAAGAAGGGAGAGTAGGATTGTGGGCACTGAATGATGGAATGGTAAAGTATTGATAGTAATTTAAATGAGGTCTCAGAAGAGAATAATAATAATCCAATATCCAATGCCTTTAATTTATTAATACAATAAAATAAAAGCCTCTGAGTATTTCTGAATATTCTCTTTATTGAAACACTTTATTATAATTTCAATCAGTATTTTTAAATTTAAATCAAATTCAAATTATAAATGATGTTAATTAAATAGAATAATTCAATTGAAAACCATGTTTACTAATAGCATGGAATGTCATTTGTTCCTTTCGAAAGAATCTCTTGTTACAGTATTGGCAGATGAATGAGGGTGGTTTTCCACACTCATATCTTACATGCCTATTTAGATTTTGTTTATTTGAATAAGTTCTCAGACAAGCAGAGCAAGCAAACCTTTTTCTCTCTGAAGAAAAAAAAAAGAAGATTAGTAGGTATAATTGAAAATAAATAGATTTTTAAAAAATATTAAGTGGGAATAATGGTTTCAAAATTATATTTCCTAATAAAAACATTGAGTCCATTAATATGTAATTTAATACAAACAATTGTAAAATCTTCAGAGCTATATTAAACAGCAACAATTAAAATTAATCAGATATTATATCAGAATGGCTTTTTTTTTCTATAAAAACAAATGTTTGTGTTAGTTTTAAGTTTTTTTTTAAAAAAAGTATTTCTTTTTCTTAAAAATTAATAAGCAACAAAATTAAATTTGCCAGATTAAAAGAGAAAGGTTGTAGAAGAAATTCGAAAACAAAGAATCTTCAAAGAGTTTTATTTATGATGAATGCTGACATGTTACAAGATCAAAAATGTAAAATAAAAAATATGATTGGTTTAGCAACAGCCAATTGCATTATGCTCTTGGAATAACATATTTATGCTCTAAGCATAATTTTTAATCCAGAAATATAAAACTTCACTCCTTATATGTATATATGTGCGTGTGTGTGTGTGTGAAATTGACTTAAACAAAAAAAAAAATTAAATTATTTGTAATTTTATACAAATTTGTGTTTTATACAAAATATTTGTCAGGTTGAGTTAAATTTGTGGTTTATTTCTTTAGCAATGATGGGTTTTAATTTCACAATATTTATACCAATTTAGAAAATTTATATTTTGACTATTAGATATCCAAATATAATGAAAACATCAGCCAATAGGTTTATCTTTCTAAAATATTAATTGTTTCATGCTATGTTGCCAAAAATCAAGGGTTATATATTAATAGATTATAAATAATTACTGCAAAACAAGAAAATTATTTTTCTGAAAATATTGGATACTATTAAACTTCATATTATATATTTCATGTAGCAATAAAAAAATTAATAATTTTGACCATGAAAATAAACTTGAATCATATTAGCATTTGTTTATTTGAGTTTAATATTGTTATGAGTTCTGACTAAATCAGAAATGGTAGGCCATCTTTTGGATATCCTATTCTATTCAGAGTGAAATTCTTTCTATAAACAACAAAATAAATTTCAACCTTCTAGACTAGACTCAACTGTACCTTACATGCTCAGCTAAAATGGCCTCTGTCATTGTAGCCCATATAGCAATAATTATATCATATAATAATCATCTATAAATGAAACATGATTAACCTAAAAATTGATAAAATAAATAAATTAACTCTCATTTTACAAAGCTAACCAACATTTTTTTCATGAAATTTTACTTTTTTCTGTTTTTCATTGTACAAATTATTAATATGTTTTAGATTATGTTCAAGTTACAAGTTAAAGATTTTGATGTTTATTAAACATATGGAGTATCAATTTTTGCTTATAAAAAAATCCGCGTTGGCAGTGTGGGCAATAAAGGGTAGGTGATTTCCCACATTCATACCTTAAATGCCTGTTGAGGTTTGTTCGATTTGAATAAGATTTGTAACACTTCTGACACATAAACCTTTGTCCTGAAACAAAATTTAAATTTTATCTCATCAAATGCCTTTGCGAAAAACCAAAATCAATATATTAAATTAAGATGCATTTCCACCTTTCAATTAAGTTATTAATAAATATACTACTAATAAATACTAATAATAAAAATAAGTATTGTAAATTGGTAACTATACCTGATTCTTGATTTACAGTATTGGAAGACAGTCTTCCACAGTATTAACAGTATGTGAACCAACATTCTACTTATTAGGTAGGCATTTTTAAAGTCATAAAATCTAAAATGAAAATGAAATATTCCAACGAAAAGTCTCGAGTCTTTAAAATACTGGTTAACAACTCATCAGTCAATGTTTTACCAATTCAGAAATCATAAAGATGGAAAACAGTTTATCTCACAATGACAGTCTAAGAAAGACATATCTACTAGACATAGTTCATCACTCCAAGACATCTAATCAAATTCCTGCTTTGTTGATCCCTCAATTGATGAAATGTTAACTGATTCTTACTTACTGCTATTATAGATACTCAAGACTTAGAGTTTGGAATCTTCTAACTGTATCCTTCAATTGATTCGCTGCTTTCTAAAGTGAACCCTAATCGATTTTAATGGAAATTGAGATAAGTATCAATTTCCATGTAAAAACACCCAATGAATTGATGGTATGATTGTTTTTTTTAATCAACCTAAATATTTAAAAAAGTGGTATGAAAATGAGTATATTTCCGAAACTGGTCTCTTTTTTTTTTTTCAAGAAATATAACGATACTTACATTTCTTAGGTATTCTTAAAATAAATGTCATCAAGTGCCTTTTTAACTATTTTATCCAAATTAAAACTAAAACTAAATATAATATAAAAGTTTACTTTATTCCACTAGAATCATATAACACCTTTTCTCTCCAGAACAAACCCCAATCCACTTTTTTTTATTTTGGAAAAACAGGCTTTGAAGTTAAATTCTTTTCAAAAGTGACTCTATTCAAGTTTCAATGTTTTTAATTACTGGTTTTAAGAACTTCTTAATTAGTTTTTTTAAATGTTATTTTTGATATTACCATTGGAATAGAAAATATAGTTTTTTGAGGTTCCTGAAAAATTGTTAATAACGATTAGTGTTCACTTTGGAAATAAACGACGTAATTACTTTATGATGTTTTTTTCGTATAAATAAAATCTAAATTTACGATTCACAATGTACAACAGGTAATAATATTTAAAATTTAAGACATTAAATAAAAAACTAATACTGATGTTATTTAAAATACTCTAAGCTCTTATCATCAAAAGGGTAATGAAAGTCAAATTGAATAACGCATAGAAATTAAAATTAAATAATTTTATTAACACTTTTCATTTAGTCACTTGACATACCAATTAAGGTTTTTAAATACCCTCACAAATCTTAGAACAATGTGAACTTCAATTATTTATTTCTAATGTATATTATAGTAATTAAAACATTTTAGCTATAAACTTTAAAAGTAAATCAGAGTTTCTTTAACAAAATAATCTGTTTTACTCAAGTTAATGTCAGTTTTATATTATCATCACTATTAATTAACAAGGAGAGGTGAATCCAAGGAACATTTCTAATTGCTACAAATAAAATATAATATTTATTTGTTTCACTACATTTCAGTAAAACAATGTGAAACTGAGTGCAGCTCACCATTGTTTTACTAAATATAATTAATTACAATGACCAACTTGATAGTAATATCATAAATTACAAAACATAATATTACATTGAAACATAGGAATTCTTAAAGGAGACCCATAAATTCTTTCCTTATATGTTCTCCCAACTAATCCCCTTATTGAGGACAAAGTATTTGTATTCTATGAATGGTGAACTACTGAGATTTATAAAACCTTAGTGTAATATAATTATTATTTGCATTAAATAAATACAAAAAAAAAAAAACCTTTCATTTTTCACGGTTATACAAATCATAACATATTAACATCACCAATTTTCAACCTCATTCATTTTCGTTTCTTGTAAACATTTTGAAGGAACAGAGTCAAAAGAAGAATAAATTTGTCTGAACAACAATGAGTTCCATATAATAATTTTATGTTTCTAAAAAAGTTACCAATGATTACAAAGATCTAGATTTACAAGGAAGATTACTATATAGATTATTTATATTACTGTAATCATCCCCATCGCTATTAATTCATTTACTTATTTTTGAATAATTCTTTGATTGTCCAATCAAAGAAGCAAAATACTTAGATTATTTTATTATTCGATTATTAAATTATAAAAATTTAATATTGTGTAATAATATAAAAGATTTAAACGGTAAAATGCAAAAAATAAATAATGAATTCTAATTAAAAATTGTGAAATTTAAGATCAACATTGGCCTAAATAAAAAGGAACTGCATAATCACATTTATAAAAAAAAATTAATAACTCATAACCTCATTTATTCTCTTAAAATCTTTATGACATAACTAGCATCATAATCATGAATGATTACTTTGTTACTTCAGTATTAATATATATATATATATATATATTGCACCTTGCGTCAAAATCACAAAACATAAACTATATCATAATAAGCATTAATACAGATTTATTCTTATACTAAAACACATAAACTTCAAAAAAGGATTAGCAATATGTATACTTAAAAAAAAATGCAGAAGTCATGAAGATTTCATAATTTATTTTAGAATAGTTTGTAATTTGTGTGCTTATTGAACACATGAAAAGTTAGACCTTCCTTTCGAAAAAAGCTTTTTTCACAATATTGGCATTTAAAATGGGGTGATTTTCCACATTCATATTTCTTGTGTCTCAGAAGAACATATCTATGTTTGTATGAACGGTTACATTCAAGACAAAAATGTCTTTCACCTGATTTTTCTGAAAAGAGAGAAAAATTAATACACTAAATCACACTTCATAATTTTTTTATATATATAATTCCCATGCTTATTCAAAGAATGCCTAGTCAAGTGCTCTTTTCTAAAATAAGCTTTTCCGCAGTGTTGGCATTTAAAATGGGGTGATTTTCCACATTCATATTTCTTGTGTCTCACAAGAACATATTTTTGTTTGTATGAACGGTTACATTCAAGACAAAAATGTCTTTCACCTGATTTTTCTGAAAAAGAGAGAAAAATTAATACACTAAATCACACTTCATAATTTTTTTATATATATATAATTCCCATGCTTATTCAACAAATGCCTAGTCAAGTGCTCTTTTCTATAAAAAGCTTTTCCGCAGTGTTGGCATTTAAGAAGGGGTAATTTTCCACATTCCTTGTTTATATGCCTGAGGAGATAAAACCGATGTTTGTATGAATGATGGCATCCAGAACAAAAATGCCTTTCACCTGAATGAAAAAGAAAATGAAAAATCAGAGCTATGCTGTTATACTTTTGTAGATCAAAGACTTTAATTTAACTCATTGCTTTGTACAAAAATCAATTGACTTGTGAACCTGAATCATAGCATAAAATGTTTACAAGCCTTTAACACTTGCTTAAGAAAAAAAAATACATTTTTATCAGCTGTGTTGTTATAGAAGTGTTATTGATTTGGATTGATGAACTAGTGCCTAACGAAGTAGTGTCACTGTATAATCTTAGATCACTATCATACTAAAACACATACTTTCACCAATTATTATAGGCCAGCCCCACTCCTCCATTCTTGTCCTCTACTCTTTCTCAACTCGGCATCATCAGCATATGTGATCAACGTGTATTTGATAATGTAGGACTTGATTTTATCCTACTTCTCCACTTCAAGTTTAATAAGATTATTAGTCCAAGAGATTAAAGCCTTAATTTATTTTCACATATTACTCACTAAGATTTAATGATCAGTTATGAAAGAGTGGTACAGTACTTATTGCACTGGATGAGTTTAAAAATTGCAATCATTAATCACAGATCACTCACTTAGTTTTTTAAATTTTTAACTAAATTTTAAGTTTATCCATGCAGTCATTTATAAGACGTTTATAATAATCACTATTAATAATCTGAGTGAAAAAAAATATTTGTCAATCACGTTAGACTAAACACTATAATAATTTCTGAAAATATATTGAGCACCTTTATCGCAAATTCTCGAGGAAAAAAATAAAAACAAATTTATATTCTTGGCTGGTTTCTGTTGGTGTCGCAACTTCAATTATCAATTACAGAAAAGTTACTCTAGAATTACAACATTTTTAAAATTAGGAAAAATTAAGATTGAATTAAAATTTTGGGAGCATTTAGACTAAAACATAAAAAAAGATTAGCTTGCCTAAATAATAGTTAAAATGGAAATGATGTATAAGCATGTTTAACACCAATGTGAATCGTTAGATGATCTTTCCGAAAAAAACTTCTTTGACAATATTCGCATTTGTATGAAGGCGATTTCCCACATTGTTTTAAATGCCTTTGCAGATCACCTTTGTTTTTGTAAGATCGTGAACATGAAGTACAAGGAAATCTTTTAGCACCCAATCCTGGAACAAAGAAATTCATTGAAAATACTAAAAATAAATATTTTTTCTATTATTATTATTTTTATATTGTAAAAGACAATAAGCTAATCTGTTTCAATATGTATAGAAAATAAAATATTACAATAGATCATAAAACAATAAATTAACAACAAGGACCCTTCGGGGTTGAAGCAAAAACAAACAAAAATAATATAAATACACATAGAAGTTGAATCAAATCCACACTTTATAAATAAAAATATGATAAGCTTAAGGTTTTATTTGTTGGAACAAATATGAAAACTGACAAAATTATTGTAAATGACCATATAAATTACATTTAAGCCAAGGATCTAAAATTATTTCCACCAAAAAAAAAAAATATAAATATTTATAAAAATAGCATTCTCTTAAATTTCAATTGTTTTCATAACAAAAAAATATAATGAACATGATAAAATAAAAATCTATATTAGGATATTAATTACAAAGTTTTCACCTGAATTTAGTTTTTTTGTTACATTTCACAGGTGAGGATATTGATAAATATAAGCTGAATTGTGCTAGACATACAATTTTAATTTTAAAAAATTCAGATTAAAAAAATAATTAAAAAATCAAAGTTATAAAATATAAATTACAATGTTCTAACATCAGACAAGTTTATTTACTGAAACTTTGTAATGATTGTAATTATAAGCCTCAATAGCTATTTCCTACTTCAAACTTGCTCAGAAATAAACAGAATTTTTTATACTGTGCCAGAGGAGGAGGGGATAATTTTATATTTAAAACAGATATTTTTTAGTATCTTTTCTAACATCAATCAATATAGAAAGAACTAAAACTATAAAAAGAATTAATTTAGAAATATAACAATATAACAATAAGGTGGCTCAATTCTAAAACCTTTCAAGTCCAAATCATAAAACACGAAAGTCTTGTGAGTAACTAATATTCACTCATTTATTCGAATACTTTTTATATTTAGTGTTTTTTATTTAACAATGTCAGGAAATTGTCAATACACAGCAAAAAAAAAAAAAATGTTTACTTTTCTATAATAGAATTATAGTTCCGTTTCCTTGTATAAGATTTGTTTTTATGGATTCACAAAGTTTTAATGATAAGCTATCGATAATTTGAAAAGCATAATCAACCATTAAAATAAAAAATTAAACCTAACTAAATATTACAATTTGCCTTATTCAGTACTCCCTTTAACAGTCAATCAGAATGGAAATGAAAGTTTAGAGTGTTTAAGACCAATGTGATTTGTTAAATGATCTTTTCGAAAAAAACTCTTCTCACAATATTGGCATTTGAGCAGGGGCAATTTCCCACATTGCTTTAAATGCCTTTGTAGATCACGTTTTAATTTGTAAGATCTTGAACATGTAGTACAAACAAATTTTTTTATGTCACAACCTGCAATAAATAAAATAAAATTAAAACATGTTTTTTAATCATTTATAATAACAGTTTAATTTATATATTGGATAAACAGTTACGATAAATAGTATAGTTTAACTCCCAAACTATTTTGCCACAAAGATGGCAAAAATTATTTAATTATCTTCAGCAAACTTTAGAAATCATTCATTAAAATTTATAATTACATTAAACAAAAAGCTTCATTTTTACATCTGATTCATTAAAGACACAACTGGATATCATTCTGCTCCAGCAAATAAATTTAGTTTAAGCCAAGAAACTGAAAAAACAAAACAAATTAGATGATATATCAAGAAGATGGTTTTTTCTGATTGACTCTCAGACCACTTCCTTCTTGTGTCTACTTTTTATAAGAAAAATGATTACTGGCTGCAGTGAGTCAGAAAATACTCAAATTATGTAAACATTTCAACATGAAAACTTAAAATTTTCTAATGAGGTACATTTTTACTATCCAAACTGTTTTTGTTGATTCCAAAACATTAATAACAGAAAAATACATAAACATCGGCAAATTTATTTAAATTCATTTCTAAACATTTTTACTAGAAAATCATAAAATATTTCCCTAAATATATAAATCTGACTGTTTACAACCAATGTGAACTTTGAAATGATCTTTTCGAAAAAAAAATTTCACCCTCTCTAACAGGACCAAAAATCCTTCTCAAAATTGATATTTCATAGATCAGAAGTCTATTTTCATCTTGCTTCTTAAAGGCCCATGCTTCTGATCCATAAGTGGGACCAAGGTTTTGTAGAGAGTGATCTTGGTCCTGTTAGAGAGGAACCTGCTTCCAAAATGCTTCGAAAAGGCTAAAGTAGCACCGTCTCGCCGTTGCTTTCCTCCTGTTGACGTCTCTAGAGATGTTGTTTTTGGAGTTGATCTCAGACAGAGGAAGACAAAGCTGCATGCCTTTTCAAAATTATATGGTCCAGCGACAAAAGAACCGGTCTCTGGCCCATTTCCTCCGACTCTCATATACTTGGTCTTAGCTTTATTAACGTTCCAAGTTTCTTTGCTCCAGCTTATATGGTCAAGAACTTAATGCCTGTTTCGATCTGATGGCAATATCAAAGTTGTCAGTGCACCCAAGAAACTGAACGGTACTGTTAAAAAGGGTTGCGGGGAGTTAAATTTAAGACATACGCACTGCTTTTTCTGCAGCAAAATTAAAAAGAAGACAGGCTAAAGCATCCCCATCTTACACCACAGTTAGTCCAAGTTACACTGTCATAGGTGGCTTTAAAATCAACAAAGAGGTGATGGGTAATTGTTCTATAGTCTTTTCATTTCTCCAGCATCAACCTCAATGAGAACACAGCTCTAATGTGGACCTCCCTCACCTAAATCTCGCTTGATATTTGCCTATCTCCCTCTCCACATGAGGAACTATTCTCTCAAATAGGATGTTAGAGAGAACTTTATAAGCACATGAGAGGAGCACTATGCCTTGATAATTGTCGCAATCCGATTGGTCCCCTTTCTTGTGCAGTGGTTAGATAATTCCCCTTTTCCACTCCTCGGGCATTTTCTCTTCCTCTCATATCTTCAAAATGATGTTATGGAGCTTCTTTCTTAGTCGCATTCCTTGTATCAGCTCCACTTGATTTCAATCCAGTTCCGGAGCCTTGTTGTTTTTCAGCTTCGCTATGGCCACTTCTATGTCTTCATCATCCAGTGGCTCGGCATCGTTAGAGAAGTCCTCCTCTTCTCTGGCTACTCGTTCTTCAAAGTTATCTCTTTTATTAAGGGCACTGCTGAAATGCCTTGCCCATCTGTTCAGAATTTCCCCTCTCTCCGTCAACAGGTTCCCATCCTCATTCTTGCACATAGTTACTTTTGGTTAGAAGGCATTACAGCCCTCATTCACTTTCTTCTGTGCAATCTCTTTTCCTCTTTTCTTTTATGTCGGTATGTCTCCTGTGTTCGACGGGTATGGTGCTGGATAGCCTTCTTATACCCAGTTTAATGGTAAAGATAAAGAAAAAAGAAAAAGAAAATATTAAAAATTGTCATTTGAATGTTTCTAAACTACTCCTACATTTCAATAGCAGAAAGAATTCAAATATATCACTACAATATTTACAAAAAAATTTCAAAATAAATATTGCATTTAAAATAATCAAATTAAAAGTCGAACATGGATTTAGTTAATACCAACATGAACAGCTAAAAGATCCTTTCGAAAAAAACTCCCTTGACAATATTAACAATCTTACGAAGGGGATTATCCGCATTGCTTTAAATGCCTTACTAAATGGCATTTATTTTTATAGGCTCGAGAACATAAAGTACAAGAAAAAATTTTGTCATCTGAACCTGAAATAAATAATAGATATTAAAACTAGTGATTTTGTTTCACTTTCATAAGAAATAAGCAGGAGAAAAAATATTAACCACATTGCTTTTCATGTCTTTGCAGGTGTTTTTATGCTTATAAGATCGTAAACATGAAGTAAAATAAAACCTCTTTTCACCAATACCTGGAATAAATAAAATTATATTTAAAAAAAAAGCAATTTTATTCTTATTAAGCAATTTTCAGGTAACTTATTATTAACTTATTTAAACCTACAGATGGATTCGACAACAAACAATAGCAACTTAAATATAATATATGCAAAGTTTAAATTTGTTAAAATATATTACATTTAAAGAATATAATATAACAAAATTTCTAAATTAACTACTAAGGGAGCAGAAAAAGGATTCTGTTAGGATATTTATAAATCAACATGCTCATTTTAATGTTTTGTTTTTTTCTTACATTCTACTAAAGTAAAATTTATTTAATTTATTTTTTATATATTAATCTTTAATATCATAAGACAATAATAATTGTAAAATGAACATTACATAAGAAATAAACTGTGTTTAATTAAATATCAATTTCATAGAATAATATAAACTTCATATACAAAATATAATTAAAGAATCTAAGTGATATACATTATATAAAAACGTTCCGTACACATTACTTCTGAGTCCGTTTATTCCTTTTAGTAAGACATTACTATCACAATCCACAAAAATAAACACCCCAATTTATTTCTCATACTTTAATTCTTCACATGTATACTGAGTTAGGTTAGTGGGTGAGGCTCATCATTGTAGGTCCATGGCAGTTGTATGGGTTGCCATGTCCCAAAGAATAATATCTTTTATTTATTTAATTTTTATTTATTGAATAATAATACAATCTGCCACACACAAGGACAATAAGTATTAGTGGTTAAATAAATAAAGTAAAGCAAAATTGAAAAAACAAATATAAGGAATAATATGAGAAGGAGTTAGTCGGGGGTGCGGTCAAATAAATACTAAATTAAAATATAGTAATTATTTTATTTTAATTTTGCCGACGTTTCGACCCACTTTGCAGGTCGTCTTCAATGCTACAAAAGATACAAAACATGTTGAGAATTACATGTTTTGTATCTATTGTAGCAACTTAAACTTCATATACAAAATGCAAAACAAAATATGTTTTGTATCTTTTCATATACAAAGCAAAACAAAACATGTTTTGTATCTTTTGTAGCCCTGAAGACGACCTGCAAAGTGGGTCGAAACGTCGGAAAAATTAAAATAAAATAATTACTATATTTTAATTTAGTATTTATTTGACCGCATAGCTCTAATAACTCCTTCTCATATTATATCAACGGTCAACCATCTCTAAATCATAAGGAATAATAAATGGTAATAAATAAAGTATGATGATAAAGTAAAATAAAATATGAACTTCATAAATAAAAGAATATATATAAATAGGCAATGATAATGAAATTAGTATAAAACAAAAAGTGAGTTAAAGTTTAATACAAACATTTTAAAAACTAAATAAAAATAAAAGTCATGTAAAACTTATAATAATTTGAATTAAAAATGTATCTGTACTTAATCTCTCTACCTGTTTAAATATGAAAAAGTTTGCTACTAGCCAACGTGGAGTATGTAGGTAAATCTAATTCTAGGCACTGCAAGCTTAGGCCCACATCCGAATCTTGCTATATTATTATTGATGTATCACAATAATTTAGCAATATTTTCTTAACTAATTTCTATTACTGTATTGTTTATATCAACTATATTTCAATTCTGGGCCAGAGTACTCTATATGATACATCTTCCATAATTAAGTGTGAATCCACCAGGTTTAATTCTAAGTACACATGTTTTCCCACTATACATGTCACCTTGTGGTGCATCTGTTAGCCAAAAACCAGTACATTTTAATATAGAACACTCATCAAAACACTCCAAATTTAAATTATTTATCACATGTCAATAAAATTAAAACCAGATCATCACAGCTTACTATTATTTTATGTTAAGTTAGTCATAACTGAAAATCAACTATTTTCTCTGTCTATTATAAATTAATATTACAAATTAATTTTCACCAGTTTAATACTAAACAGAAATTACACTAAATATTACTATAATTAAAGAGATCTTTTAAATAAATATTGCCTTAAATCAGTCAAAATGAAAATGAAAAACAAGTATGTTTGACATTAATGTGAATCTTTAAGTGGTCCTTTCGAAAAAAACTTTTTTCGCAATATTGGCATTGATATGAGGGTAATTTTCCGCATTGTTTTAAATGTCTTTGAAGGTGACGTTCATTTTTATAAGCTCGGGAACAGGAGATACAAGAAAATATTTTTTCATCTGAACCTGAAATAAATAAAATAGGTTTATTAAGAAAAAAGTGTGTGAAGAGAGTGAAAAGAAGTGTTTTTGGTTTTTCTTGTTAAAAACTAAAACAAAAGTGCTTACCACATTGCTTCAAATGTCTTAGTAGGTGACTTTTATTTTTATAAGATCTTGAACATGAAGTACAAACAAATCTCTTCTCATAAAAATCTGGAATGAATAAAATCTGTCAAAATCATAATTTATTAAATAATTGAAAAAGATAATTATTTATCTAAATAAAAAATAGCAATGTCTGATGTGCTAAAATTGATCTAAGAATGAAAAATAGTTAGGAAATGCAGTCATTAACAGCATTTATTATATTAGCCAGCATTTCAAACCAAGTATGTGGGCCATCAGAGCTTTTGAATGGAACGTAATATACAATTGATTACTAGGGACCCAATGTTAAGTAGCTATTCATATTTAATAATTTTTATTTCTATACTTTTCATTCCATTTGTTGTTACCTTTTATATACTTTATTTTTATTTATAAAACAAAAAATTTTCTTATCATATTATTATATTTGTATTACTCTTATGTTTATATTAGCGTTATCTCATGTGTATGTTCCATATTTTTCCTTCTCTTATTGACATAATTTAAAATATATATATAATTTTTCTGATTTATTTTTTAATTTTAGTCCTGATGATGACCCACGCACTTGGGTCAAAATGAAAGTAAATTTAATAAATACCATTAACAACTGTATTTTCTATTTTTCATGAAATTTCATTAATGAAATATATCCAAAGTTGTATTCATTAAAATATATTATAATTAGATAAAACTTAACAAATTAAAATTACAAAATAACTGTATAGATTAAAATTAAGCAAAAAAAAATAACATAAGTTCCATTAAAAGAACTATAAATATTAAACAAGAAGTGATTTCTATTCGATTTAAAGAATAACAAGTGCCGATAAAAAAATAAATAATAAATTCTAAAAACAAAGTAATGAAAATTTGTATTAGGAGAATTATGAATCAACATGTTTACTATTGACTTTTGTTTTGTCATTACATTTCTTTAAATAAATCTGGTTAGTTTATTTACTGCATCTTAATCTTCAAAATTTTATGTTAGAAACTGAATGCTGTACGAGCGTTAATATTTAATTTAATGTCAATTAAGCTTCAAATAAAAATATAGTCACACAATTCAAAAGCTAGAATATGCTCAGAATCTTAAAATAAAATTCTTTGGGTAAATAAATTTGTAACATAATGCCATAATAGTTAATTTATAGGTAGATGCAGCTGATTAAGTGCACAGTGCTCCCAGTGAATGGTAAAATTTAAATGTTTAACATGCTATAAACTTAACTTGTAATCAGAAAATGGATTTTTATGCAGTAAAAACCCATGGAATATAATATGCGATAAAAAACAGATAAATATACTACAAATACGCAACAATACAGAAAAAGTATTCAGTTACACTAATTTTTCTATAAAAAGATCAAAACTAAAAAATAAATTAGAGAGATGATTACAAATTAAATATAAATAATTTAATTTTTTTAATAAAGTAAATTAATTAAAATGATATGAGAAAAAAAAAACAGAAAATAAAAATATATATTTGGTTGAAAAATAGTTAAAACACAAATTAAGGTATAATTAACAGTAATTTAAAATATAATGTGAGATATTTATCGAAAATTAAAATAATATAAATTTAGAATTAGTAATAAAAGAAAATTAGCAATGATTTAAAAAAAAAATTGACATGGACAAAATAAATGCCAATGAATTAAAAATTAGTAAGCGACATGTTTTGCATTAAAATTATTATCTAAATGAATTTCTATACTTGTTTTAGAAAACATAATCTTTTATCGCTTTATAATCAGAAAATGAACTTTCTAAATCAACAAAGGTGACTTAAAATTATCAATTTTTTTTCAATAGAAACTTGATTTGAACAATAGAAGTGAAAATGAATGTTAAGATGAGTTTCAAAAACTGTTTCATCTTTGAAATCGTAAGGGCTCATATTTGTAACTATTTGTAAAATATTTCAATTTTGTAACAAATGATGCATTTTAAATAATGAAAAATATTACCGCTCATAAAGAAAGTAAGAAATTAAAATTGAGTATGGTGTTCAGAAGATTAAAAGGAATGAAAAGTATAGATAAAAAGTCAGGAAAAGAAAAAAAAATCCATATTCTAAGAAGTTAATTACTGAAAGAAGTGTTATTTTGTAGATTTTTTTTTTTTTTTTTTTTTTTTATTGAAAATAAACCTAAGATTGTTGTATGGAATTTCATTTTCCTTACTGCATTTAAATTTTTTATTTTTATTTTAAATCATGCATACATGAAATTATATACATTTATCATCAAATATGCAATATAAAATTTGATAAATTGCGTGTGGGAACACTGATTCGTAAAGATATTTGATCAACAGTTTAAAAACGGCACTAAAATAAAATATGCAATTGCATAAAAATCCAGGCCTTGCTTGTAACACATTGAAGTACCAGCCCATGGTATATAATATTGGGTAGTTAATTAGAGTTAAGTAAGGTCAGGGATACAAAAACCTTAATCATTAATAATAACAAAAATAAATTAAAATTACATTAAAATATAAAAAAATAAAATAAATTTATTTCAATAATAACAGACTGATTAAAAATGTGTTTCTGAACTTAGTTTTTAAAATATTTATTAAGATTTGTCTCAATAAATACTGTTTACATGTAGCATGTAATTAACAAATAAATTATAGATTGGTATGTTTAGCTTCAATGTGAAGTGTCAAATGATCCTTTCGAAAAAAACTTCTTTCACAATATTGGCATGTATGTGAAGGGGACTTTCCACATTGTTTTAAATGCCTTACTAAGTGGCATTTATTTTTGTAAGATCGAAAACATGTTGTGCAAGAAAAATCTGTCTCCTCTTTACCTTAAATAAATAAAATATTTTAATTTTTTTTAAATTATGTACTTTAAAAAAAAAAAAAATAAAAATGCATACCACAGAGCCATAAATGTCTTTGCAGGTGTTTTTTAAATTTATAACCTCTCGAACATAAAGGGCAAAAGAACCTCTTCCCATCCAAACCTGAAGTAAATACAATTTATTAATATTATACATGTAAAAAATATATAAATTTCTTTTAGTATATAAAACAATTATTGATATGAATTAAGGATTTTCTTCTGTTTAAATTGACTTGGAAAAATAAAATCACTTAAATTTTTATTAAATTAAATACAATTTTAATCAGCATAATTAGAAAAATTTAAGTACAGACTAAGATTCAGCTAATAAAAATAACAATAGTTTATTTTAAATAACTAAAAATAAAAATTGATAATACTATAAATATAATTTAAACAAATAATAATTTACTATTAACAATAATGAAGTTCTATTTTTAAAAATATAGTATATAAAATAAAAAAAATAATAAAAATATCTGTTAGATAATCATAAAATATACTAACTTCTAAGTAGAGAATGATTGTTACAGAAGTAAGAGTAAGTCTAGAATTCTTATTTAAACCTTATTTTAGACCTTAACATTTTCTGACCTGGTTGTAAATTGAACTGACCATTGTTCAAATAGAGAATTTACTTTAACTGATATACCTCCCTAATCTACAGGGATAACAGGTTTAGAGTATATCTATAAAATATATTCCATGGGATGCAGTAATAAATATCAAGTTAGTTGGTAAAGTACATTATAATAGAACTTAAGAATAAACAATACATAGGTATGCATATCCAACTTAAATGTCACTATTATAATTACTATAAACTGATTACTTAACTTTAATTATTTCATAAATATTTAAGAAATAGGCTACAATTTTATAAAGTACATATAGTGTGCATTTCTGAACTCTGGCAATGTGCCATTGTAGAAGTCAGAGAACGGAAGCTTTCATATAATAAATTAATTCAAAAGACTAATTATGCTAAAAGGGTGACACAATAAACCATGTATATTAAAACTTCTTATTTCCTAGATGTATATTGAAAGTATGACTTTTCAATTTTTGTTTCTGATAAAATGCCTTTGGACAATATTTACACTGAAAACATGGATCTTTCCCACAAACAATTTTCAAATGCCAATCGAGAGTAGATTTGTTTTTATAAGATCTGTCGCAGTTTGGGCAGTTAAATCTTTCTCTTAATCCTGAAAAAATAAACAGAGTTAAGATTTAATTTAGATAATTGATTGTATATATTTAGATATATATATATAGCTAAAAAGCAGATGGATAAATAGAATCAACAAAGATGCAATAGAGATGCGTGCAGATAAATGGAAAGAAATAGCCCAAGACCGGCAGAGATGAAGCAGGTGGCAAAACATCTACATGGTTTGTAATGCCAACAGAAAAAAATAAATAAAAATATACATATGGCCAAAAAGTAGATGGATAGATAGAATCAACAAAGATGCAATAGAGCTGCGTGCAGATAAATGGAAAGAAATAGCCCAAGGCAGGCAGGGATGGAGCAGGCTTGTTAAGGCGAAAAAAGATCTACATGTGTAATGGCAACAGAAAAAAAAAAAATGTATATATATATTAACTTATTAACTATAGGGGCTAGTTAAAAGGAGAGGATTTGTTATAGGATTTTTTAAATAAAATAATTATTGCTTTGTTGCTACAAAATAAGTGGAGACAATTATTATATTTATGTGATATTATTTGAGTTATTTTTTATAATTATAAATTTATTTGAATCTAACAAACAATCTCATTCAAATTTTACAGCTTTTTTGTTGTGTATAAAAAATTGTACACGAATTATCACTGTTTTCAAAAAAATATTTTAAGACACTGAACACATTTAAGTGATTTTTCTCATAAACATATTCACAAAGCCATGGAAGAGTGTTTGTTTTTATTCAATTTATCACACAATGAGCAATGAAATATTTTCGTTTAACATAGACAAAACTAAAAAAAATTTAATTCTAAAATAACTACGAATGAAAATATATGGCAAATAATCTCTTAATTATTGGAAGAATGATAATTTTTAATAAAATTAAACTTCAATGCACTTTATAAAAGGTTCATAATAGTCGTTTAAAATTTATTATATAATGGTAGAAAAAATAAAGTTCAAACACACATTAATCTAAGAAATAAAAATCAAATATGATAAATGAAAAAAATTATGTACAATGCAACATTGTTAAAAAAATGAAGACCATCATTTTGTAATTTATTAAAATCTGATAAATTAAAGTGTCTGTAATAACTCCCTTCTTTTTTTTTTTTTTCCAATATATAACTTGTTTTCACTTATATCACAATCCTGAAGCTTACTTCCATATTTCTAGAGTTTTTACAAAAAGTTTTTTTCTGAAATGTTATTCAAGGCTTCTTAGGTTTAGAAGACACTAAATTATTGATATTGCAATGACACGTGATCCTTCTATTTCATTTATATATACTTATGTAAATATGTCCAATCGGATTGAGTTAGCTGACGGGGCTCATATAGCTGAGGGAAGAGAAGCAGTGTATTTATTTATCAAGAGTGGTCACCTATATTGGGCTTTTTCTCATTCAATTACCACTCTCCGTGTTTTGCTAATCTACAAGTAAATTAGCAGTCTTAGCCCAATAGGTTATTCTTTCCTAAGTAAAATTGTTTGTTTCATATTTCTCATGTAATTATTTCCATGATGTTATCATGAAAATAATAGTGGTTTGCTGATTAGTTATTAACCAATAACCAACAGCGTTGCATTGATATTTATGTCTTAGGGTTAAAGTTCAAATGTTAACCTGTAAATAGAAACTACTTATGTTTTTATCTGTCTATAAAACAACACTATCATAAAACATAGAACAACAATAAATACAAGTTATATGAAAAACAATAGTCATATAAGTATTTGACAGAAAATTTATTGTCTATACAAATTTTACAAAACATGAAATGCATTTAAAACAAAAAATAAATTAAATATAGTAATAGCAAACATATTTTAAAAATCTTAAGCGAAAAACAAAAAAATAATTAACAAGAGAATATTAACAATGAACAACAAACATGTAGTTCATTAATGATTCAAAATCTAAGAAGTCTAAATTCGGGATGCCTATTGAATACATGGCTTTTTAAGTGGTGTTTTTGGTAAAATTGTTTTTGGCATAACTGACATTTGTAAAAGGGAGCTTTTCCACATTCATACCTACGATGTCTTCCAAGTGTACTTTTGTTCTTGTAGGATCGATTACAAGAACCACAACTATATCTTCTCACCATCATTGCTGTAAAAATATAAGAATAATTTTTAATGTTCTTACAATATATTTCTTAAAATACGATTAAAAAATGCTATCCTTGTGAGTTTAAACCTGACCCTTCATCTTTTCCAAACAGAAAAGGCTCTTTGTAAAAAGGAAAATATTCTATAACCTATGATTTACTTACTAGAATAAATTTATATTCAATAAAATTTTTAAAATATGTAGATTGAAGGCCAATATATTATCTGGCAGAAATGCATACTGACTTCTTATGAGAGAAAAAGCCCAACCAAAATCACTATTGTCCTGTTAATCATGGTTGTGATAAAACCCTGTTTTAAGTGAATTTCATTGTAGGCTTTCTACTTCCTTAGCAAAAATTCAAAAAGAATCTTGGAGAATCAAAACCTTATAACCACTATCTTTAATCAGAGACACAACTCTTAAACCAGAGAAATGAATTAATTCGAAATGTTGAAATAAAATAGAACAAAAATTATGATGAAAAGTTGTATGAATGTTAATAATGGAGATTTATAACTAATGTTTTCCAGATGTACGTTTTAATCACCAGTATTTAATTTAATTATTCATTGTTTTTAAAAAGCTTATTTACCTTTATTACAAACATTATTATAAATGAGTTGATCATTAAAACGAGATCATCAGCACGTATCAATCCATGTGTAGAATTAAATTGCTTGGGTTCTTCGAGAATGGTTACTTTTTCTGAGGCGAGGAGACCATTTTCTGAAATATACTTTTTCATAATTTACAGCACTTAATTCTTAGAAAAACTCTTCATTTTATTTTAATGGTTGTTATAAACACAGTTATTTATGTTCCGCATTTTCATTACAAAATACATAAATAAAAGTTGAAGACTGACTATGATCTAACACTATAATATAATTACTATTTTTAGGATTTCTGTGTGGTCTATAACATAACCATTCAAAATAATTAATTTGTTTAATTGGTATTTCAGCCAATATGGTATTCTATATATATACTTATATATTGGACACTAGTTGTATATTATATACTATTTGAGATGAGATCCTACTTTCTTTTTATAAATGTTTTTTTTTTTTTTTTGTACAAAGCCAAAATCTTTTAGTGAGATTTGCCTATAAAAGTAAGGTTTAAAAACTTGAAAAAAAGTTGTTTTCCGAATGCCGTACAAACACATGCCTTTGGAGACTGTGTTTATGAGAAAATCCTTTTGAACAGTATTGACATTTAAATGAAGGCTGCTTTCCACATTCTAATTTTAGATGTCGCAATAAATTGCATTTGCTTTTATATGAGCGGGTACAAGATGTGCAGGGATATCTTTCTTCGCATAATCCTAAAAAAAAAAAAATCACAAAACATAATAAGTTAATATCATTATTTTTAAAAATTTGTTGAGACTTTAATTTTGGGAAAACAATAGTGGTAATAAGAACTTTAAATATTTCATCAATGTTGAAAATAAAAGAGACAAAAATCTCTGCTGTGACATTTTTATAATAGATCCAACAAGACATAAAATAAATATCATGGATTAATAAATTTTGGAAATAATAGCAAAAATAACATTGATTATGTTTATTTCCTGAAAAATAAGCAGTTAAAAATCATATTAATGAGGAAATTAAATTTGATAAAGAAATTTGCCAAAAATTACACCTTTAATTAATAAAGATGTCTATTCATTTAATAATTTTAATTTGTAACACAAATATTAATTATAGTCAAAACAAATAAATATTTTACATAATTAAGTATGTTTTAGATGAAGGTACATAATTTATAAGTTCACATGGATGAATAACCTTCACCACAAATTTTTATTTATAGTGCGTAGAAGATGAGTTTGCCGGTAGCAGAAGGGAGCTCACGTAGCTTTTTCCCTCTCAAGCTCCACCTCTCCAAAAGCTCTCTCAAGCTCCACTTACCCTCCTCACCATAGCAATCACCTTATACTAGGAAGGCATCGTTTAATTGTCTTCAAATTTAGCAAAAATGTTTATTAAAGGTAGAAATTTTAATTGAAAAAGAAAATGAAACATTGACAAGGTTAAATAACCAAAATTAAAATAAAAAAATGTGAATTAACGAGGCCTTCTGTTCTCAGAAGTTGTAATTACTTCAGCCAGAAGGTTGGGTGGCCGAGCACGTTGGGGCATGTGTTCCAGAGTGCCCAGTTCTGAACTTTGTGGGTTTAATTCCCACCTGGCTGGGTTACTTTTCATGTCTCGGCGACCACAGGAAATGGATTATGACATTCCCACTCTGGTAAGAATGCGGCGGCAACCTTGAGGTAACCCTCAGTGGGCAATAAGGACCATAATAGGAGGCCCACTTGCTGGACTAGTTTTCCCTATCCGTACCAGTATCAGTATTACTAAGGCCCAGATCTATAAAGAGTGAGGGATCAGCAGAAAACATTTTGCTATTGCTCATCTATCTCCGCCCTCTACTCACCAGTAAACTCATCTTGGGCGCACTCTACTACGTTTCCGCTATACATGTTTATGATATCCTCAGTTACTTTTACTTTTTCTGAGAAGCTTAATATGACCTTATCAATTGTTCAATTTATACCTGAGTTGGAGAGTTTTAGCTACACAAAAAAACAAACATACTAGAGAATGGCATGTATATGCCCAATTAATAAATAAATAGAATAATTTGTGGTGAAGCTTACTACGCCTTGTTTTTCATTATTGCATACCAAAGATATAATTCCAAGATTATTTATAATTTCTTAATTATTTAAAACTATTCCCACAATTTGCATTAAACTTTCTATGCTTATTAAACATATGGCGCAGTAACTGTGTCTTTTGAAAACACGCCTTAGAACAATACAAACATTTAAAAGATGGCTCTTTTCCACATTCATATTTATGATGCCTGTTCAGGGTGTATTTACTTTGATAAGTTCGGTTGCACTTAAAGCATAAAAATCTTTCTCCTAGCATTCCTGAAAATAAAAATATATTCGAATAAATAGCCAAGATGAACTCAAGACCATAATAAATTAAATTACAAATTTAAGCCACACATAAAGTTTATTGTATGATTTTTTCTATAAGTTACTTTAATTGTAATTTTTCAAAAATACTCAGACATTATTAGTGTTTTATGTAACAGACTATCCAAAAATATGCATTTAATTCATTTTCACAGTAAGTAGGGATCACAAACTTGAAGATGTTTACTGACAAAAAAGAAAAATAATGTTTATAATTCAATCCATTACATCGAAATTCTTCATGAAATCCAGTATTCTCCTTATCATACCACAAATAAAATCATCCATGAAGATTTGAATATCACATATGTTGCATATAAGGTCCCATATATCCGATACTGATGCTTCAATTATAATATATAATTGTTTAGTATTTAAAAAAATGTATCATAATTATCAACAAAAAGAATGATGAGAAGAAATTTTATTTTAAAAACTACAAATGATTGTTAAATACATGACTCTTAAGGCTTTCACTTTCAGAAAATATTTCAAAACAAATATGACACTGAATTATTTCATTTTCTACTTTAGGTTTTCTATAGAAAGTGTTATGATCCTTGTCAATCTGGATACGTAAATAATCTTCAGATGTGTAACCTGCAATCAGATATACAAATATTAGTAACAATATTCTGTTAAGTGAATTATAGTATAGTCATAAAAAAAAACATTTTTTTATCAGTAAAGATTACTTTTCTGATCTCTTGACTAATCTTCTTCAAATTATAGCAGTATTAATAGTATACCAAAGTCAAACACACATCTTTAACACCTTGGTTGATATAAGGTAATAAAATAAATAATTACCAATGAAAAATAAAACGATCTATGGCTTATTTATAAAATTAATGAAGAACACTTAGAAGAGATAATTTTATGATTTAATTAACTAAGGTTAACTAATTCGATTAAAAATTTAAAATAAAAGAACTTTTAACAGCACAACATGAAAGTACACCTTTATTAGATATTAACAAAATTTACAAGGATGGGAACTTCATCACTAAATATCTATAGATAAATGCGAATGCTTGAGAACTATATGTGTCTGCATATGATCCTTTCGATAAAAACCCTTGTCACAGTATTGGCATCTAAAGGACGGAAGTTTTCCACATTCATATTTTTGATGCCTGAGCAGAGTGCATTTATTCTTATATGATTTTTCACAAGAATCACATGAGTATTTATCAGGTACAAATCCTAAAAATACATATAAATAATATGTAAAAATGAGTATTATACATTAGTAAATTAAATAATACATACATCATTATAATATATGACACACACTGTTCTTTTTAGTAGAATATTTTTAAAATAATCCACCCTTACACCATATTACAACAGAGATATTGAAACAAACATACAAGATAAACAACTCTAATTTTAAAAATCCTGTCTATTTTCGCAAAACCTTTAATAAATTTATTTGAACCCTTTAATTCTATACTCCTCATTATCAAAAAAATCATCTTGAAATTCATATTTTTTTTTATAAAATTCATTTTTGTGTTTAAAAATGTATGATAAGATTAAAAACATCACTCCAAATCCCTCCAAAAAATATTCAAATAAAAAAGGCATACCAACTATTTATTGTCCAAAAATCAGTTTAAACTTCGCGATTTCTTACATTTATTTGATAGATTTATAAACCAGATCAATTGAGGGTTTCATTTTCAAATCATACCAGAATTTCTTTAATTGTTAGTCTATGGAAAAATAAATATGTTTCAAACTAATGCAGAAAATATCAAGAATTATTATTAGAGACATCATACATCATAATTATTTAAAACTTATTAAATCTTATTTTTTTAAAGTAAATTCAATCTCTATAATATAATACAAACAAGAAAAAACAAAAGATATATATTTTCTAATCATGATAATAGAATAATTACATTCTCAAGCACCGACATGTTCTATTAAGTTAGAGTCCTGGTAAAAATCAATAGGAAACAATATAAAAATAATTGGTAAAGCAGAGAAATATTTTATTAGAGAATTTTGTGCAACTTAACCACAAATTATTGCCACCCTTAATAATTAATATAATTTAATATTTTGGTTGAGGTCTCATTTTTTTAAAAAATATTTCTTCATAAAATTGTTATTCCTCAAGAAAATATATTAAAGCTGAATTCGGTTTATAAATATACATTTCAAACCAATTAAATTGAAATAAATGAATATTTTATCCCTGAATGACAAAAAAACAAACTATATTATGCTATAAGTGTCTTAATATTGTATGTCTTTGCATGTTATCTTTGCGGGAAAATTCTTTTTGGCAATGCTGACATTGAAAAAGAGGAGCTTTGCCACATTCGAATTTCTTATGTCTTTCAAGTGTTCCTTTGTATTTATAAGATCGATTACAAGAAGAACAAGAATATCTTTCAACTCCAAACCCTGAAAACAGAGAGAATCATTAATGTTGAAATAATCATTTCATTCCAAAATTGATGAACTGCTATTGTGATAATTCTTACAATTTAAAATGAAAATTAAATGAACAAAACGAGCTACAGTTCATTAAAATTAATCAAATTATGTTCATATATCCCAAAACTAACCAATTTATTAAAAACAAATGGTGAATGTTTAATAAATGGATATTTAACTTATTTAAATTAAATATATATTTTTAGAATGAGTAATATATGAAGTACTTTTCTAAAACTAAAATAAGAACTCTTGTGATTGTAACTATTAACCTGGAACTTCTTACTAGAAAGAATCATGAAAACAATACTCAAATAACACATTGTAACGTAGCATAGTTCTGCTCTAATAACCTTTATTTATATTAAGTTTTAAAATAATCAAATTAATAGAACGTCTCTATAGATAATTAAAAATTATTATATTACCTGTTCGCGTAATAAAATAACATTTAAAGAAATATTACAATTATTTTTTAAATAAATAAATAATGACTGCCAATCTGTAAATTCGGTCACCTGTTTACCAAGACACCGTTACGAGCACGTTAGTGAAACTTGTTATCAAAGGTGATTGCTTAAGAGAGCGGGGAT